TAATGCTCGTTGTCATTAGTCTCCCAAGTCCTCAACATCACTCATCGTGCTCATGCATTCATGACTCATGAGCTGAGCTCTGCACGAAGCACACATCATGCTTGTGCTCTTTGTTTTCCTAGATCTCCCAATCCTAGTTCTCAACCCTCAATCTTATCTGATCTAGATTGAGTGTTTGTTAGCTTAACTAATCAATTGCTTGTTTCCTTAGTGTCATTTCATTTGTGTTTCTAGTTTATTTAGATTTTCTTAGTTAGTTTTCTCATCGTTATCTCGATTGGGTATTATATTATAATGAAGTAATTTTTAGTTTGACAATTTTTTTAAAAAAATAAAAATAGTTAAAAGGGTTTGAAGCCCGTAAAGCTGACCCTATGCTTGCTATGTTGAGGATTGGGCTTCGCATATCAATGTTTTAAAAAATACTCGAGCTTAAGTTGCTTAGCCTTTTTAAGCTTGAACCCATCAAAAGTCTACCTTTTAAAATTAGGTTAGCTCGTTTTCTCAATTCTAATAATAAATTACTAAAGGTGTGTTTGGTTTATTTTTTAATTGGGGTTGGGGTGACCCAAACCAAACTTGGAGAGTAAAAAGCTCATCACAACATTGATATTTTGTTTGGATGAAAAAAAATATTAAACGAGCTTCTAGTTGAAATGAGCATTAAAGTAAAAAGCCATCTGAGGGAGCTTTTCAACGCTCATTAGGAACGTTGGGGTATATTAATTATATTAATTGCTGAAAATTGCTGGATTCTCTCTTCTCTTATCCTCTCACCTCACCAAGATTACTAGCTCGTCTCTTATTCTTTCCTCTGTCTTCACTTCACCAACCGTTGCCTCTAGCATGTTCTCGCTGCTGTCGATGATCGTGTATGTGCTCGGCGTCATCACCGCGGCCGTCAGGGGAAGTCGTAGGTTCTGTTGAGGTTGTTGTCGTTGTCTGTGTTTGTCAAGGTTGATGGTTCCGTCAAGTGATTTTCTTATTGTTGCGTTGTCTATGTAGATCATTCTTACAGAGATAAGAAGTTTCGTCCTTTGCCATCGAACTTTGAGAAATCTACTACTGGGGACTAAGGTAGTTCAGAAAATTGGAGCTTTAAGGGTTTGGAGGAAACAAGAAGCTTCAAGAGTTGATTTCTTGCGTCGATTTTCTTGCTGCATGACTAAAGGAAATAAGAAGCTTCCTTCTTCGCCTTCGAACTTTGAGAAATTTACCACTGGCGTAGGCAAAAAGATTGGAGCTTGAAGCCATCAAGAAAATGATGAGCTTATTTTAAAAAAATAGGTTGGTTTACAGAGATAGCATAAGTAATATTTTAAGAAATAAAAATTTGTGAATTTATAAATTTATTTTATTCATTTAGAATTAAATATTTTACACTCCTTCTATTAAAAAATATAAGGAATTTTTAACGAATTTCACCCACAATAAAAGTAGTTATTTGTCTTAAAGATAAGACTAACCTTATCTTTTTATTTTTATCTCTATTTAATAGAATGTTTCACCTTAAAATAAATATAAAGTGATTTATTTAATAAAGGCACTTTTAAGAAAAAATAATGATTATATTTTAAAAGACTTACATTTTTTAGCAAGGGAGTAATTTATGAATTTATTTTAGATTTTTATAATTAAATATTTTGAATTTTATCCTCTGATTCTACCTTTTTCAAAATTAAGATTCTCTCCACCCTTAAATAATAGAATGAATAGTTCATATTTAATTGTTTTTTACCAACAAATTTAATTTTGTATAAAATAATTATCATGCAAAAAAATAAATTTAAACTATTAAAATTTAACTAGCTAGGGATGCAAAGGGAGTTGTTGCAGAGAGGATCTATGTCCCTTTATTATAGCCTTGTAGGTAGGGTCAAGAAACAAGTGGGATGAGCCATAAGATCGGTTGCCTCAAAATCAATGTTTTTTTTTTTTTCAACTCGATTTTAATTTAAAGGTTCAAAGCTGAACTTATAAATTTCTTTTTATTTTACTTTTTTAATTATTAAAAATTAAATTTATTTTATAATAAAAATTTAAATATACAATAAAAAATAATAATTTAAAGTATAAACATATATTTTAAAATTTAAATTAAATTTAAAATTAAAAATATTTTATTTTTTAAGAATAAAACAAAAATTCATACAAGAGGGTATCATCAATATATATATTTACAAATCTTATAGAATGAAGGTGATTAGTTATAAATCTCTTATCTCTCATTAGTCAACATATTTTAGTATAATATTAATTATCCTCTCCCACTGGTCAATTACTTTTTATATAATCAATTTAATTTTAATCTAATATTAATATTACTATTTTATTGATTGATGTGATTGAATATTTTTTTTTAATTAATTGAAAAAATTTAATTTAATTTAATTAATTTTTATCTTTTCACGGGACGATCAATTTAAATGTCATTAAATATTTTTTTGATTGGTTGATATAATTTAATTTATTTTTATTTATTTTAATTAATTTTTATCTTTTCACAGGACAATCAATTTAATTTAGTATAATATTAATATTACTATTTCATTGGTAAATGTGATTGAATATTTTTTAATTGGTTGACATAATTTATTTATTTTAATTGATTTTTATCTTTTCTTGAAAAGGGAGCATTAAATTCTATTTTAAATTTTTCCTGAGTCATCCATTATGGGAGCATTAACTATGTTATTTCTCATATTCTCAAGTCCTGTTAGAGAGTTTTTGTTCTCAATATAGAAATATCTTTGCGTCTCTTAGTCTCATATGCCCTAATTGATGGTTGATTAATTGATTTTTATCTTTCATGGGACGATCAACTTAATTTTAATCTAATATTAATATTACTATTTTATTGGTTGATGTGATGGAACATTTTTTTATTGGTTGATAGAATTTAATTTATTTTTCATTTATTTTAATTGATTTTTATCTTTTCACGAGATGAGAGTATTAAATTTTATTTTAAATTTTTCCTAAGTCGTTTATCATGGGAGTATTAACTATATTGTTTCTCATGTTCTCGAGTCTCACTAGAGAGTTTCTGTTCTTAATGCAAGAATATCTTTGTGTTTCTCAATCTCATATGTTCTAATTGTCGATTGATCAGTCATTCTCCTAAGTGAGTTTGTTGTTGATAGTGGAGAGCCGGGCGGCCAGGGTGAAAGAGTTTTGCACCTCTTTCCAATCAATGTCGAGAAGAGAATGTCAAGTTCATCCACATACTTCCTAAAGAATTCAAGAGCTTAACTTCGCCATGCTTACATGACAACCCTTGGGATGAGTTTTCTTTTACTAGGTATGTCACCATGGTGTCCTTTGTAAGAATGTTAATGATAGATTCATTTGAGATTGAATATTATAAGAGAAGATATTTTAATTAAAAATAGGTTTTCACTTATGAAGAGAAGCTGTGATGTCATGAATACGTCGATCATATTCATGTGTACACTCATACAATGCAAATTCATACTCAAAGATCAATAGAGGAACTTTCAAAAATTTATCCATCTTAAATGCATCAATATCAATAATATTAATGATATTTATTTTAAAATTTTTGATTTCAACCCTTAACACGTTTGGAAAACTGTTTAATCTTTTTCTTTAAGGGTCTATTTTGAAGTTCGGTAACCTTAAAGATATTTTTTAATTCAAACCACAGGCTTAACAGTGCTGCAGTCAGCCCTGCCCTTACAGGCTCTACTTGCAGGTTGGTTACCTAGTTCTCGTCCCTTGTGCGTGGAATTAGTTCTTTCTTGTTCTCGTCCCTTCTATGACCAGTTCAGGTGAGTTCTCGTCCCTTTTGCGTCGAACAGTTTTAGATCTTGAGTTTATCTAGTAATCTGGTTGAATGGAGCTCGCATACCCTCTTCTCCTCCTTCGTCCCATACCTTCATATCGATTTTGCTTCAAGTGGGAAGCTTGAGACCGAAAGTGGCACCCGAATCTGCGCAATATACAAGGATTTCAGCAGCTCAGCTGTTCATTAATTTCACTTGGGGACTTTCGTCCCTTTGATAATGTCTGGGTCGATACTGTATGGTTTGTTTTTGGAGCTCAATATCTCAGGTAATCATTACCATTTCGGAGTTTTAATGAATTCTACATGAATGTTGATTTTTTTTTTTTCTTCTTCTGTCTCGTAATGGAAAACTGGGATACAATGATTATAGTAGAACTTAGGGATATTTACCAAAGTATCAAACTTTATTTGGACAAGAAATTGGAGGATGGGCACTGTTCCAGGTAGTTTAAAACAGATTATTGAAATGGTTAATCTATTTCCAATATTATGGTTCCTGGAATGAAGTATGAAACACGGTTTTATTGCCTGCCAACTAGTTTTATAAATTTAATAATCTCTTTTGTTGGATGTATGTGTTGTGGATGGCATGTAAGAGAATAACTGATAATTAGGGAGATTTTAAAGAACCATAGAATTTTCTTTCCTCCTTTTACATTGTGTATGGTTATTTAGAAACTAGTCTTTTGACCAAAGAGATTGGGCATATTTTCCAATAAAAGATAAGGAAAAAAAAAATCCCAGAAGAGGTTAGGATAATGTTCATGTACGTTGAAGCTTTTGGAGCTTATTGTTGGACTAAAAACTTAATACACATACAATAGGTGCAATTACTTTCTATTATGAGATGTTGGTTGGTTTTGTTTATGTTCCCCCTTCCCCCCGAAAATCATGATGAGATATATCATATCTTATTGGCCAGGTTAACAATTGAGAGTAGAAGACAATCAAGATGTTGATGGCAAGCCGTTGTCAGTCCTTTTTAAGAATTGGCTATTGTACCATTATTATCCAGGTCTGAGTAAGTCACCTAGAGCTGGCTAGGTTTGGTAGAAAGTTTCTTCATACAGTACACTCTATACAGCTGCGTGCATACGCTTGCCAAAACCAGTTTAAGTCTCCATCTAATATTATCACATGCATAAAAGAACCCTTGAGCTATGGTGCCCATTGGTCTCTTTCAAACCACCCTAGCCCCCAAATTTCATGTTTTCTTCGAAAGGGTTTCTCAGAAATTATTGAAGGAATTGCTGGTAAAGTGCTACATGCGTTATGCATAAAAGATGTTGTTCGTCTCAGCACATTCTATGAGAATACCTTGGTTAACATGTACTCTAAGTTTGGTGAAATAAAGTATGCAAAACATGTGTTTGATAGAATGTTGGAGAGAAATGAAGCTTCTTGGAATACCATGATGTCAGGGTTAGTTCGATGTGGTTGGTACTTTGAAGCGATGCATTTTTTCTATCATATGCTTGAAAACAATGCCAAGCCTAGCAGTTTTGTAATTGCTAGTTTAGTGACTGCATGTGATAGGTCTGGCTGTATGATTGAAGAAGCACTTCAAATTCATGGTTATGTTGTCAAATATGGTTTGTTCTCTGATGTATTTGTTGGTACTTGTCTTCTGCACTTTTATGGTTCATATGGTCAGTTATGTGAGGCCAGCAAGATATTTGAGGAGATTATTGAACCAAATATAGTGTCATGGACTTCTTTGATGGTGACTTGTGCAGATAATGGAGATCAGGAGGAGGTTATTAATATTTATCAGCTTTTGAGACGCCATAGATTTTATTGTAATCACAATACAATTGCTACAGTATTTAGGTCTTGTGGGATGCTTGGGGATAAACTTTTGGGTCATCAAGTCTTGGGGAATGTGATTAAATCTGGATTAGACAATAATGTTTCTGTGGCAAATTCCCTCATATCCATGTTTGGTAGCTGTAGTAGCATGGAGGAGGCATCTTATGTGTTTAATAATATGAAGGAACGTGACACAATCTCTTGGAATTCTATCATTACTGCAGCTGCACATGGTGGTCGTTGTGAAGAATCTCTTCGAAACTTTTCTTTGATGCGTAATAGTGATACAGAAACAAACTATATTACAATTGCGGCCTTATTATCAGTGTGTGGCTCTGCTCAAAAATTGAATTGGGGAAGAGGACTTCATGGTCTTCTTGTAAAATCTGGACTAGAATCAAATATTTGTGCATGTAATAGTCTCTTAACTATGTATTCTGCTGCTGGAAAATCTGTGGATGCAGAGTTTGTATTTCATACAATGCCAGACAGGGATTTAATCTCCTGGAATTCCATGATGTCATGCTATGTTGAGGAGGGAATGTACCTAGAAGCCATACAACTTTTCATTGACATGCTCTGGACTAGAAGGGCAATGAACTATGTTACTTTCACAAGTGCATTGGCTGCTTGTTCTAATCAACCAAACATAGTTGAGGGAAAAATTGTTCATGCTCTTGCCATCCTTTTTGGTCAACATCACAATTTGATTGTTGGTAATGCATTGGTTACCATGTATGGGAAGTCCAATTTGATGTCTCAAGCACTAAAGGTGTGCAAAACCATGTCCAAGAGAGATGAAGTAACTTGGAACGCCCTCATTGGTGGCTTTGCTGATAATGAACAATCACATGAGGCATTGAAAGCTTTTAATTTGATGAAAGAAGAAGGTGTACCTGCAAATTATATCACAATTGTGAATGTTCTTGGTGCTTGCATATCTCCTGATGATCATTTAAAACATGGATTGCCCATCCATGCACACACTATTGTTACAGGCTTTGAATTAGATACATATGTTCAAAGTTCCCTCATTACCATGTATGCCAAGTGCGGTGATCTCAATACAAGTAATTTCATTTTCAGTGAATTAGGTTGTAAGACCTCTAGTGCTTGGAATGCTATTATTGCTGCAAATGCTCATTATGGGCCAGGTGAAGAGGCCTTCAAACTCATTGTAAAAATGATGAGTGCTGGGGTTCGTTTAGATCAGTTTAGTTTCTCTATAGCTCTTGCTATTATAGGTAACTTGACTGCATTGGATGAGGGTCAGCAGCTCCATGCCTTGGTTATTAAACTTGGGTTTGAGTCTGACCATTATGTGTTAAATGCTACAATGGATATGTATGGAAAATGTGGGGAAATTGATGATGTGTTAAAAATTGTTCCTCAACCAAGTATCAGGATTCATAGGTCTTGGAACATTTTGATATCAGCATTAGCGAGACATGGGTTTTTTCAAGAGGCTAGGGAAGCTTTTCACGACATGCTTAGATTGGGACAGAGACCTGACCATGTCACCTTTGTCTCACTCTTATCTGCTTGTAGTCACGGCGGTCTGGTGGATGAAGGTCTTGCATACTACCATTCAATGACTAGTGAATTTTGTGTCCCAGTGGGAATTGAACATTGTGTTTGCATAATTGATCTTCTTGGGCGATCTGGAAGACTTGCTGAGGCTGAAGCTTTTATTGACACAATGGCTGTTGCGCCGAATGACTTTGTGTGGCGTAGCTTGTTGGCTTCTTGTAAAATACATGGTGATACGGAACTTGGAAAGAAAGCTGCTGAGAATCTTTTCAGGATGGATTCATCAGATGACTCAGCCTTTGTTCTTTATTCAAACCTATGTGCATCAACTAGAAAGTGGGATGATGTAGAGAATGTAAGAAAGGAAATGATTACTCATAACATAAAGAAGAAGCCTGCCTGCAGTTGGATCAAGTTGAGGAACAAGGTGACTTCTTTTGGAATGGGAGACCTGAGTCATCCACAGAATGGACAAATCATCATTAAGTTAGAAGAGCTCATGAAGATGATAAGAGAGACAGGTTATGTGCCTGATACAAGCTATTCACTACAAGATATAGATGAAGAACAAAAAGAGCATAATCTTTGGAACCATAGTGAGAGGATTGCCCTTGCATATGGATTGATCAATTGTCCAGAAGGTTCGCCAATTAGAATATTCAAGAACCTTCGTGTCTGTGGTGATTGCCACTCTGTTTTCAAGCTTGTCAGCAAATTTGTTGGTAGGAAAATTATACTTAGGGATGCATACCGGTTTCACCATTTTAGTGGTGGCAAGTGTTCTTGTTTAGACTACTGGTAGTGGATTGGTTTTTGTTGGGAATATGAAATTGAAAAATTGAGCGAAGAAATTAAGACCTTGTTTGGGCTCTATATGATCAATCGGTTGCAGCTTCTGAAAATATATCCAGTGAAAGATACCGGCTAAAGTTAATCCTCTCACATGATGGGAGGTTAGTTGTCTTGCATTCATTTTTACCAAATGAGGTAATGTTATATTTATTTCAAATTAGTTCCCTGGGAAGATTTATTATTTTCTTCTCATTTTTGAATCTTATTGTCAAATATGATAGAGAACAGGGTCAGTTGAACAGCATAAGATTTTTATGCATGTTTACATTGTCATTCTTTTGCTTTGATTTTCTTTTCTTTCAATTGACTCTAGGAAAAAATCTACTTGTGATTTAATAAGTGTTTTGCTGTTTATTTTATGCTAGGTGGTTCTTATGTTTCAATTTTATTAATTTGTTGTTTCTTCCTTTTTTGAGTATTGACTACTTTCTGCACATTACACTTTGTCAAAGTTTGACTATCCTTGGATTGTAAAAATTCATGTGTGTCAAATGTTATTGGTTAATATAACAAGATTGGTAGTTTTTTAGTCTAATAGCTGTCTATGCTCTCTTTAGTTCCCTCTTTACTTAAATTCCAAGACTACTACTTTAGTCTGCTATTTTACTATTGTTGAATTTTTTTTTTCTTTTCACTTTCTTTATAGTTGAAGATTCAAACCCCTTTTCCCCGTTTCTTGGGAGTGCAGAGCTCTATGATTACAGTGTTTAGGTCCATTGTTGATAGTGCTTTATGGGATTGATTCATTTGTCAATGGAAGCTATTTTTATTAGTTTTTTTATGAGATGACTAGGGTAATCTATAGTATTTTAATGACTATTGGCTTACTTGATTTACAACTATGTATAGATACATCGGGTTCCTACTAAGTAAAAGTTAACTAATCCCCCCTCGAGTACTGTTCCCTGTTTCTCTACAGGTATTAATAAGACAGGAGACTTCGCCCTTCCCATAATGCTTGGCCATTCTGAATTGCAGCAACAATTCTTATCTTTTTTGCTGTCTCTCTCCCAAGGTTGACACCTGTTTTACCTTGTTCTTCACCTTGGGCGCTTGCTTTTTAAATTTCTGGAATTGGGTTGTTTAAACTCATGGTTAAAACAGAGTCAGAGATATGGTAAACTGACAGGCTTGCCCACTCATCACTATGTAAACAGCACATCCCAATCCAATCCTCTCTCATATTAAACTGGATAAATCTGAATAAAAAGATCATGTTCTAGAGCTTGACAGCATTCAGCCACTAAAGATAATGATAAAAGAGAATAATTAAAAGGGAGACTTCAATCATTATTTCTTTCTTTCCTCCCTTCCTTTTCCTTTCTTTCATTTTTTTTCTTTTTTGTTTTTGTTTTTGTTTTTTTCCTGTTTGCTTGAGAGTTTTGATGAGAAGAGGGAATATGAGAAAGCAGAGGACAAGTGATCCTTCCTTCCCAATTCTAAGAAAAGGAACAAAAGATAAGGAAGACTCTTTACTTCCAATTTTTTGTTTTTAGATTCACAAGTGTAAGATTGGATATGAGGAGGCCATAAATGTAATCCTTTTCAAAGTATGTTTGGATATGATTAAAGCTTAATTCCATATTTTCTCTTAAATCATGGACTTAAATTGCAAGATTTTTGTGCAATTGGGCTGTGCTTGTAAACCCCCCAAATTTTGTTGCTAATCTGTGAATAATAAAAGCCATAATATCATTTGTAATGAGATTAGCTGAGCTTAAAGATGGCTCAAGCCTTCTACTTTATTCATTAATAATTTACTATGCATTATATTGGGACTTTTGAAAGCAGAGAGTAGCCCAAAAAATATGAAGAGAAAATAATAAAGATAATAATCAAAATCTAGATATTAACAACCTGATATATATCTAGATCACTCCGATAAAATCTAAAAGACATTGAATAAATAGGATAAAACAGAAAATCTTGTCTTCCATAGATTATTTGTGATTTCCAATGTGTAGTTTGGATTTGCATGTGTTTCAAATGTATTTTTTGAGCAGAATTTTCATTTGGGTGTTTGTTTCTTATTTGAACTGAAAGGATTGTTTGTAGAAAAATGAGGAAATAAAGATCGATGTCCAAGGGCTTAATTGCAAAAAGAGTTCTGGATGGTGCTCATGTTGGTCGTGATGACTTTTGGGAGACTGTATTGTCACATCTTGCTAGATGTCATGAAGACTTTCAGGTTAGTCATACTGATTATCAATGTTATTTAGGGGACCCCACCTTGTTTGTTGCCAAGAGCAAGAACTTAGAAATACTTGTTTTTGAGATTTGAGTTTTTAAGAGAGAGAGAGAGAGAGAGAGAGAGCTCTATGATTCTCAAGAGAGAGAAGGAGATCCTTGGAATTGTGGAGGAGTCTTTCAAATCTAAGGTTAGCATGTTTTTGTTGTGGATTCATTATTTATGTTCAATTCATCTCCTTCTGCTTCTTTATACGTTTGTTTTACAATATTTTTGCCTTTATTTTATTTATTTTTGCAAATCTTTATATCTGAATTCTTTATTATAATGCATTGTGTTGATAATGATTTACCGTAGCGTTTCGTTGAGATTTTGGTTCCTAGACACTGTCATGCTGCTTGGATGACCGTTTGAATGAAATGAACCGATTAAAAGTGATTGACTCATTAGATAAATTCATATAGACATATGGTTAGATGGATTTGTTAACTACTTGAGGCAGGTATTAATTTTATGGGATTAAGATTGGGATTGGGAATAAATTTTAGGGAGAATTTTAATAAAGGACTAGGGATGTGACTTGTTTTCAAATCACACCTAATAAAATTTGAAACTACACTGTAGGATCCAAAGATTAAATTGAAATTATTTTTCAAATGAAATGGCCAAAATGCCCTTCATTTATTTAAAAAGAACAAAGAAAAACTACTAGCCATTATTGCCAAAGCACCACCGATGGTGACTGAAACCTCATAGGCGACGGCAACAACTAGACTTCCGCTTCTAGAGCTTCAATTGCTAGTTGGACCATTGTCGGCGATGGCTAGAGAAGTAAATTCTCTAAAGGTAGCCAAGGGTGGGTTTAGAACTCATGTCCCTTTGACTTATCAAAAAAATATGGACTACCAAACTATTGAATCCATTCAATTATATAATGCATAAAATTATTTATATAATAAATTTTATTTTGCAATCACTTGATTATTATGTTACTTGTTAATTGCATAATTTTATTTGTTAATATATTAACAAAATTTGTTAAGTACTTAACTTTTCTTATTAAGGTCATGACTCTTGCAACAGAATTATATTGCTTGTTAAATGTGTAACTTTATTTGTTTACACTTTAACAATACTTGTTAATTACTTAACTTTCTTTGTCAAGTCAGTGACTCTCACAATATAATTACATTACTTGTTAATAGCGTAATTGTACTTGTTGGTTACTTAAGTTTCCTTATTAAATTCATGATTTTCACAATTAAATTACATTACTTGTTAATTGCTTAACTTTATTTGTCAATTTCTCAGCAGGACGTAACTTTACATTTTTAAGAGGTTGGATATTCAAAAATGTAATGCATTTTTTGTATTTGAAGGTGTAATCATTACTCTCTTTTTTTCAAAAGCATTCCTAATAAATAAATTACTTTATATTTCTTTTAGAGTGAAATAATATATTAAATAGGGGTAAATATAAAAAAGTTATGTTAGTGTAAAGATAAGTTTATTAGGGGTGAATTTGATTAAAAAGGCTTTATATTTTTTAATAGAAGAAGTATCTTATAAATTGAGACAAAAGGAGCATTTCAATATGGCTAACTAGAGGACTTATTGGAGCCTATACTAATTCAAATCAAGCTAAACAGTATTATAGATGGTAGCAAAGTTCTTCTACTAAGTATTTAATTCAATTGCATTCCTAGAACTTAAAATCAAAGACTTCTAATTAAGCTACTATAATTTCCTACTAGTTGAAACAGATGCTTATTGATCAAGATGCACATTTATCAATTGGTTAACTGAAAACAATAAATAATAAACAACAAGAGTAAGAGATTGAAAGGAAAAATCATAGAAATTTAGGAGAATGACAATTAGGTCTCAAAATATTAAATAAATGATAGTTAAATTCCTAATAAATATTTTTGAAAAACAAATAAAAAATATCAATTTAAATAATTATATAAGTATTAAACTTTTAAATTATAATAAATTTCTATTTGAATTGGTATTTACAATTTATTTTTAGAAAATTTTGTTAGAGATTTAACTATGATTAATTTAATATTCTGGATCTATCTATCATTCTCCCTAGAAATTTAACCTAATTTAGATTTGGTTTTTGATGATAAAAAATATTTTATACTATGGTAGTCACAACAATTATAATCCATGGATTTCTCACCTGATTATCAACAATCTCACCTAAAACTCAACTAATTATTGTGAATATTTTGCTCCACTTTCAGAGCAGCTCTATAATAAAATGCTTCACATGAATATTGTTTAAAATAATTTTAAAAACTTGTGTTAAAAAAATTGAGCATATATTTTTTTCCATATATGAAAGGGATTATAATTATTAAGCACAATTTATTTGTAATTTTTAAACATGGTTATTGACTAAAAATCCTTTAAATACATATATTCAAATAAAATTATGACTTGGTTAATCTATTTCATTTTATTATTACAATCCGCTAGAAACCACCATAGGTGGGTAGTGCAAAGCCAAAAGTTTTATTAAGGGGGTTGAGATGACAAAATATATATAACTAACATAACATAAATCATTCAATGTATATATTTATATTTAATTACATATATATAATTAAAATAAATATATGCTTTCATTTTTAAGTTTTGCTCATCAATTTTTCATGACATAAGAATAATTAATTACCATGTATATGATAAGTTTGTTAGTTATTTCCTTATCAATATAAACTATCATTAAATTGACAAAAATTTTATCTTCCTCATTAGCATTGAATGATTTAAATGCATTCTTGAGATCTGAAATTCTCTTCAATTTTTTTAAAAAAACTTTATTGCTTACTTATTGAATTAAATATTTAATTCTTTCAATTGATAACTATAACAAATAAATATATCAACACAATAATAATACTCAATTGTCACAAATTCTTTATGTCGAGGAGGTCTAAATATATTATAGTAAAAATCATTCATATTATAAATTTCAAGTGCTTGGTTATTATAGGAAAAAAAGTGATTTTTCTAGAGGAACATATCTTAATCATAATATCTTAACTTTTGGGCAAGTAATTTTATGGTAGCCATCGAACACATATCATTCAATATATTTGGGATTTGTTGTAGTGCTTGGTAAAGTTTGTTAATAATAATTCTCATAATTTCTTTCATCAAATATAAAATAAAAACAAAATCAAATGACATCAATATTTTAAGAGCACTTGTAGCATTATCTCGTTAAAACTAAGTAAATCTTAAGAGAACTATATATTCAATCTACTAAAGTAATTGGACTATACATGTATGTGTAAAATATTACTATAGAATTGAAATGAGAATTATATTTAGTGTCTCAATGTTTCTACAATATGCCAACTTAGGGGGCTAAAAATATAAAACCCTTAAATTTTAATAAAAAAACATTTAAAAGTTAGAAGGGCAGTTATCCCTACTGGTCCCCTGTCTCAACCCCTGTAAAAACCAGGCCAACTATTAAGAATACTTTCAATAGGATGAATATTCCAAGTGAATTGCTTGGAGAGAGTTACTTTTCAAAATAAATTTATTGAACCCCAAATTTGAATTAAGAATCTTTAATGTGCCTTCTCTAATGCCTTTTGTAATGTCTTAATTTCTTATTTTTGTTTCTTTTTTCTTTGGATCATTGATTTCTATATAAAATAAACGATATTTTCAATGTCTTGAAGTCTCAAAATAGTAAAGTTCTACATTTTTTATGAAAAAGCAATGTAATTGTAATTTTTTATTTGAAAAATCATAAAAATTACAAAACTTCACCATTTTGATACTTCAAAATATCGAAATGTTTCTTAGTTTATATAGACACCAATGATCCAATGAAAAAAAAATGAAATTAGGAAGATTGGAATATCATAAAGAATATTAGAGAAAGACATATTAGAAGCCCATAGTTCCCCTAAATCCCTTCAAGCCAAGTAAAATTGTCCACAATTCAGCCTCTAAGCTATGAACTCCAAATCTAATATTTTGTCATACTTGCAAGTGAGAGGGACTCTTTTATCTAATAGGCTAAATTTTTTAAGGTGGACCTTCCATTTGGGCTTGTTCTCATAATATTAATTCTTTTTATTGAGAGATCAGTGTCATGAAAAGAGTTACCCATTGAAGGTTTTGACCAACAAGATTAAGAGTGCATTTGGAAGTTTATAATTGAATAAAAAAGAAAAGTCATTAATAGAGTGGAATGGAATGGAGCAGAGTAGAGTGAAATAGGAAAAAAAAATTCATTGTTTGGGAGTTTTATGATGTGAAGGAATGGTTTTGCATTACCATTATTTGGAAGTGACTATAAAATGAATGGAATGAAATGGTTTAAAACTTTTTTCTTCCAATATTACCTTATGATTGAATTTAAATAAAATAATAATGCACATTAAATAATTATAATATTTATGCAACAAATAATAATAATAATAATAATAATAATAATAATAATAATAATAATTAATGGTTAAACAAGATACTTAAAAATTCAGAATAAAAGGAGAAAGCAAGTCATGTAGCTACTTAAGCAAACAATTTTTTTTTTGCACAAGAGGAAAATACAACAGAATCATGGTGTTGAAAGACAGACGAGCGAGAGAGAGAGACAGAGAGATATGATGGAAGGTAGAGTTATGTATTATGCCTAAATGCTTGGTCATCTTGGCCCTGCCTGAAGCATTCAAGCAGATAAGGCCAGGGATTAGCAAGTTTTTTTTTTTATTTTTTGTGAATAATACTTATCTAATGGCATTGATTTTTTTTGAAGGTTATCATAAATTATATTTTTTTATGATCTTTTTGACATTTTTTATCATTACGATTTTTTAAATTTCTTTCAAAATTCAAAATTTATTTTTAACTTATTATTGTGTAAAAATAATTGGCATTCGTTTGAACTTTTAAAAAATTACTTTTAATTCTAATATTAGTTTTATGAATAATATATTTTAAATAATAATAATAATAATAATAATAATAATTTTTTAAGAAAAACTTTTTTATATATTTTTTAAAAAATATTTGTAAAAATATTTTCGGGTCAATCATGCCATTCTGGTGCCTAACTATACATTGAGCTGAGAACTAGGTAGGGGTGACATTGGCTCAGCCCTGCCCATGAGTAACCTTAGCAAGAGGCAAGAGAGATGGTTGGATAATGAAAATAATAGATAATATTTTTTTTATTAAAATAGGAGGTTAGGGATAATTTTATAGATGAAATAGTTATATTGTGCCACTCCATCCTTGACCCCCCAATTTGCAAGGACAAAATATTGAGCTATGAATAGTAAAAGAGCGCTTTAGAAGCCCTTCCTTGCCATTCCATCCTTTAAAAAAAAAAAAAAAATCTCACAAACAATGACTTAAGCTTTTTAGCCATCTCACTTCATTCTATTTCTTTCTAAAAAAAAATATGCCAAACATAACCTAAGTGGGTCTGTTAGGAATATTGATTCTTGAAATGGGGTGTCAATGTTACGAGTATAAATATGAGAGATTTTTTCATCCAACATTCTTTTTTTTAAAGATGAGTTCTCCTTTTAAGTTTGTTCTCATAACAACTTTCATGAATGAATCCAAAAATAAAGAATTTCGAGTGATTTTTTATTCTCCCCCACAACCTCCCTTGGCTAAAGAAGTGAAAAATATTTTAACATGGTAAATCAGAAGTTCGAATACTTTTTGTTTCTAAAAAGTGCTTATACTTAGTATCTAATACCATCTCTCATAAGATCACTTTCACTAAAAAAAAATACCAATGGTACCCACGAAAAAAAAAAATCTACAAATCAATGCACATACACTATCATGCGGAGAGACCTACCACGAAAGATTCACGTACGCATGCCATTTTATCTTTGTGATTCTTCAATATTTTCCAAGATCGATCGACATTACCTGCAAGTACATGAATTATATAAAATTTTCTTGAATTATTATAAAGCTACACAATCATAATTTCGAGAAAGATCTGTGCATATTTTTAAAACAGAGAAAAAGTCTTTGATTTTACAGTTTACATATATTTAAGAAAAAAATTTGTACTCCTTCCGTCTAAAAATATAAGACATTGTTTAAGGAGTTAAATGTTCAAAAATATAATGCATTTTTAGTTTTTTGAAATATAATCATTGCTTTTTCTCAAAAGCACTCCTATTGTTAGTGACTTTATGTTCATTATAAGGTGTTTAATAGGAGTGAATATAGAAAGATAGAGTTAGTTTGAAAGTAGATAACTACTTTATTGAGGGTGAAATTCGGGTAAAAATACCTTATATTTTTGAACAGAGGGATTATAAGTTTTGTAATTATAGAAGAATTTTATATCTTTCCTAAATGATATTTATATTTTTTTTCTAAAACTTACAAATTTCATGAAATTAATCTCCTCAATTTTTAAAAACGATTAAAAATTAAGGATGTCCGAATCTAAATTTTTTTAGACATGTATGCAAATGTATAAAGAATGCATTATATTTCTTGTTTGAAAATGTATGAAGTAACCCTTTTTAACATTTATTTTTCCAAACATTTCTTGTATGGAAATGTATAAAGGATACATTAAAACTTAAAAGTTACATTTGTCCAAAAAAAAAGTTACACTGGACATTCAGAATCCAATCTCTAAACTTTTCAAATTATGTGTCATTTTTATATTTTAAAATATCAGTGAAATCTCCTAAAACATAAAAATAGTGATACATTTCAGTTTTATTTTCAATATTCTAATAAAAGATAAATTTTTCATTTTATAAGTATTTATAATTTTTTTAAAATATAATGATCATTTATAAAAACAAAAAATAAATTATATAAATCTTAATTGAATTTTATTAAATTACAGTAGTTTTTTTTTTTGTGACTACACTATTTTTCTTAACATTCAAAACTTACAAAAACATCGGCTGTCAACCTAAAATAAATTAAATAAATGCTATCTGAATTATTTTAACTCTATATAGATTTTCCTTTTCATTTTCAACAGAGATTGTGCATATTTCCAAAATGTAACTTCGTGTTTGTCTCGAGAAAAAAATTTATATAAATTTTAGCAGGAGAGAATCTGGCATAATTTTAAAAAAAGTACACAGAAAGTTTGCATTAATGTTAAAAATAAAAGAATCATTTGTATAATTTCAACAAACCAAGCCTTATAATTTACTTCTATTTATCAAAACAGAAATCAAAGTTATTATTAATTAGTTAGTTAAATTTTAGGAAACTTTATTTACTACTCCTATCTTTTACCAAAAAAAAAAAAGTATTGCTAACTTTTTTAAGAAAGCCATGCTGCAAAAACATAAAACATAAAACATAAAACAAAAACAAAAACAAAACTTACTTCAAATTAAAACGCAGACTTCCCTAAACTCTAAATTTCCTAAAATCTAATTCCTAATTTCCTAAAACATATTTTCAAGACTGATTATATAAATACGTTTCTGCTTCCTCCATTAACACACATTTCTAAAAGTTCGTTGATTAATTCTATCAAAGTATCAAATCCTTTCTATATAGTGTTATCCTTGTGATTCTGTTATTCTGAGAATGGAATCGAAGGCTGGGGTTAGGGTTTCGAGTTCTACCTTCTTCTTATTCTGCTTCTACTCTATGATCTTGTTGTTCGGATTTATCAGTTCTCTGTGCTTGAAAAGCGATGCTGCTGCTGTTTCTGCTGCACCATTCAGCTGCAAGAATGGGACGATTGCAGAGTGCAATGAAGACGATGAGATGATGATGATGGAATCGGAGATCAGCCAGAGGTTGATGGCGGAGAAGACGAAGTACATATCTACGGGAGCTCTCCGGAAAAACAGACCAGTCTGCAAGGGCGGAGGCAGCGGCAAATCTGGAGAATGTCTTCCTCCTCCTTCAAATCCTTATACCAGAGGCTGTTCTAAGGAACATCGTTGCAGATCTGACTCTTGAGTCGTCCCAGAAATTGGCCATGTGCTGCAATTTGATCCGATTCTGATCGTTATTCTTTCAATTTGACTGTTTTTTAATGTCTTTAAATTTCTGTTATGTCTTTTTATTTGAAATATATAGCCGTTAATCTTATGTTAGAATATTTTTATTGAAATATAATTTTATTAATTTAAATGCTTGTTGGATTTTTAATTTACAGGTATTAGACATCATGAAATTTTGGTGTCCTAGTATACTACTTTACGTCAAAGTTATTTATAAATGATATTTAAATATGAATAAATAAAAATATTTTAGAAAATCTTAAATATTGTTTTATATTGCCCCAGGGGCTAGGTTTAGGTGGAACACAGTATACGAAACATCATCCCATATATATATAACTATTTTATCTAATTTTTATTCTATTTGATATTTAATTGAATTAAGTATAAAAAATGAAATGATTTATATATTTCATATTTATTCCTCTTGTAAGAACTTCACAACTCTTTACATAATGATTCTCTTTAGGAGCAATTATTGATGGAAATGGTAAGTAATACATGTGCGAGAGAGCGTACAAATAACCTTTATATTCAACACTTAGATGCCTCTTATGTCAAGTTCTACATTATATATACAAAATCCAATCTTTAATTTTGTTAAAATATAAGAATCTTATTTATATTTTTAAAATATACGTTAATTCTCATAAAATATAAAATTGTGCTATATCTCAGTTAAGCTTTCAACTTTTTAAATGAAAGATGCATTTTTAAATTTTATAACATTTAAAAATTTATATCTTTTCTAGAAACAAAAAATTAAATCATATAAATATTAATTGAATTTCATTCCATCACGCTAGTTTTTTTGTGAGACGACACTTTTTTTTTTAACTTTCAAAACTCATACAAACATGTCATCAATCTAGTTTGCAGCATTTCTACATGGTTATAAAAGGATATAAGTAATATATTATTTTTCTCGAAAAAAAAATACATATGTGGATAAATTTTAGTGTGAGAGAATTCAGTATAATTGAAGCAAATTTCAAACGCAGCAGCTTGCATTAACGTTAAAAAAATAATTTCTATAATTTAAACATGCCAAACCTATACAATACACTTTTATTTCTAAAAAAATAAATTTATAATTAAATAATTAAATAATAAATTATATGAAACTTTATTTACTGCTCCTAAAATCCTAACTCTTCCAAAAAGTATCACTAAAATTTTAAGAAACCTAATTGAAAAAAAAATATTTATAAAAGAAATGAACTTGCTTAAAATTAAAAGGAAAACTTTCCAAAGCTCTAATTTCCTAAAATGTAATACATATTCTCTTCGTTTAAAGATATAAGATATTTTTAATATTTTAAATATAATTAATGTGCTTTTTTAAGGTGTCCATAATAAATAAATTATTTTATATTTATTTTAAAGTAAAATAATTTATTGATATAAAAAGATGGTATTAATTTAAAAATAATTAATTATTTTATTGAAAATATGATTGATTAAAAATATTTTATATTTTTTAACAAAAAAAATGATTTTCTAAAACATAATTTCGAGAATGATTAGAGAGGTTTTGGAGGTTTTGTGTTTGGACTGGTTCGGACAAAAAAGAAGATAATGCTTTAAAAGTTTGTGATTGTGGGATGATGTGGAATAAATCTCCTTTGAGAAATCCTCATCTGCTTTGGAGCATAAGAATGAAAAAAAATTCAAACAAGGTTATAGCACCTACTGTCTCGCTATACTTTTCGTCAATTTTAAGTTCATGTAAAGTTTGCCTGAGAAACGGTCTTCTTACATTGAGCCAAATTGTTTCAATCTGCTTTGCTTTTGATGTGTGCTAACCTAAATCAAAGAAGCATCTTCAGATAAGGCCTTCAATCAACACGGTCTTGCATTTCAATGTTACCGAAAAAAAGTATTTCAATGAAATCTTCTGAAGCATCATTTTTCATTTCATGCTTGTGAACTATTTTGCTTTTGTTTCATTTAATCTTTTTCAGTATTTAGAACTCTTCACTCCCTCAGTCCCTTTAGGATTGTTGCAAACTTAGATACAGTAGACTAAGGGAGCATTTGGTTTTCATAAATTTAACATTTGAAATAAACTTTTAAATTTTTGGAATGTTAAAAGTTATTTGAATAATTTTGTAGGAAGTACAATAACTTTCAAAAAGTAGATTGAAATGAATTTAAAATATAGATTTGAAACTTTATTTTTTGGTTAATTTTAAAAATCCATTTCAAATGTTAAATGAATTGGGAGCAATTATGACGAGAATAATTGGATACCTAAATTTTTAAATGATCATGATACTCTTTGAGTCCACATAACTTTAGACGCTAATGATAAAAATATGATTAACACTAGTGATGATAGTGACAAGCGTATATTTTTATTATTAATTTCAAGTGCAATTTTAAGTGTAGTTTTTGATAGAGATAAATATAATTTGAAATTATATTAAAGATCAGATTATATATTATAAATTAAATCATTAACTATATAACTATTCAATATTGATTAATTTTAAACTATTAATTATATAATTTTTTTAATATTAAATTATGTATCTTTTATTCTTATTATTTAAGATCATAAATTTTTTGTTATTTTAATTTTTTGACTTTTTAAATATTTTTAATATATTATATTTATATAATAAAAAATTTAAAATTAAAATAAATTAATATTCTTTTTTTATCATTGCATATTTAAAATTATATTTTGAAAATATAAATTTTTATTAATTTAAATAATTTTTAATTTATTAAATTAAATTTTAAAAAATATATTTAAATATAAATTTTTTTTATAATAATTAAATTTTATTAAATTAATTTTTGTTAAATAAATTTTAATTAAATTAATTTTTGACAGAGTGAAAAGCAAACACACACTAATTTTATTTTATTAATAGCTTTTTTTTATCAAAAAAATAAAATAAAGATTGGTTAGAGAGAGAGAGACGGCAACAAGAGTGATCCCTTCACCTACTACTACAATAGCTAGTGCTCCCTCCATTAACAGGCCTTTCTAAAAGTTCGCTGGACCTATCAAATCGTCTCTATATAGTGCTTTCCCTGTGACTCTGAGGACAATTACACAATTCAGAGAGAGATAGAGAGAGAAAATGGAATCGAAGGCTAGGATTAGGGTTTCGAGATCTACCTCCTCCTTCTTCTGCTTCTACTTTCTGATCTTGTTCGTCGGATTCATGTCTTGTTTGTGTTTGAAAAGCGATGCTGCTGCTGCTGCATCATTCAGTTGCAAGAATCGGACTATTGCAGAGTGCAATGAAGAGGACGAGATGACGATGATGGAATCGGAGATCAGCCGGAGGTTAATGGCGGAGCAAAGGAAGTATATATCTCCGGGAGCTCTCCGGAGAGACAAACCGGTCTGTAACGGCGGAGGTGGCGAGGCTTACAGCAAATCTGGAGGTTGTCTTCCTCCTCCTTCAAATCCTCATACCAGAGGCTGTTCGAAGTATTACCGTTGCAGATCTGACTCTTGAGATCTCACAGAAACTGGTTTATGTCTCAATTTGATCCGATTCTGATCCTTTTTTTTTTTTTGGCTTTTAAAAGTTGACTTATTTAGTTGAATGTCTTTTTAATTTCGTTGAGGTTGGAGAAGGTACGCGTCTTTTTCAATTTTATTTCCAGTATATAGGCGTTAATCTAACGTCAGATTTTTATTATTGAATTTTTTATTAATTTAAATGCATATTGGATTTTTTTTTTTATTTGTAAGAATTAGACATAGTAATATTTGGTTTCCTAAAACTATCCTCGTCTTTATCGGAGTTATTTATTGAAGTCTTGAAAAGTAAATCTAAATATGCATAAATAAAAAATAGTAGATACAATGCATACCCAAAAAAAAAAAATCATCATCTTCGTCTGAATTATTCATTGAAGCCTTGAAAAGTAAATCTAAATATGCATAAATAAAAAATAGTAGATACAAGGCATACAAAAAAAAAAAAGTAGTTACAAATTCTCCAAATTTTGTTTTATATCTAATATTAAAGTATACTTTTAGTTTGTCTAACTTTAATTTGATAAGTTTTTATGTTGCTCTTTTAATTTTATAAAATATTTTATCAGTTCTTTAATCTTGTTAATTTTAAATAATTATTTTTATACTAATTATAATTATTTTAAAAATTTTAAGCTAATATGTTAACTTTGGAAAATATTTTGTTGATGAAAGTAATGGTCTCATAGTAAAAAGATTAAAAATATATTTTATAAAATTAAAAGATTAAAATAGAATTTGATATAAAGTTAAAAAATAAATGTACTTTTTCTGTTAAAAAAATGTAAAGCATTCTTTACCGAAGTTTATTTTAATAAAATAATTACTTATTTTAAAATTAACGCTATCTTTTCATATATATTATTATTCAATAAGATATTTTATTTTAAAATAAATATAAAATAATTTATTTGTTTAGGTTATTTATAAAAAAAGGCAACAATTATATCTTGAAATTTTAAAAATATTTTATATTTTTAAATATTTAATCTCTTAAAAAATACTTAATATTTTTAAATAAAAGAAATATGCTTTAATATTTAATGTGTTGCCTTCAGTGTTGAGGAGGGGAGGGATATGCACAAATAAAAATATATTTATAAAAAACTTAAATTTATTTTCATTTTTTCTTTGTGTGTGACAGAGATGAAATGAAGGCTAAGGATTAACAATAAATAATAATAAAAGTAAACTAAAAATATAACATGATTTATGTTTTATGAAAGTATTTGTATGTTTTAAAATATAAAAGTTAAAAAATAAAGGAAAATATAATCATTGGTCCCTATAATTTTTATCAAATTTTATTTTTTGTTTCTATAATTTTTTCTAGTGTTTTTGATTCTTGTAGAGATTGAAACCATTGAAAACATTAAAATTATAGAGATTTAAGTAACAAACGTCACCCAATTTGATTAAAATTATAGAGTCTAAAACATTATGAAAAAAAATTATAGAGAGTAAAAACAAAATCCAATAAAATTGTAGGGAAGATATTTGTGTTTTCCCAAAATAAATTTAATATTTGAAGCAATATTTTGAAAGTCATATGGGATCACGAACTAGAAAGGCTAACAGTTTACTATTCTCTTAGTTTAACTAGCTAAACTGGTAGTAACAAATGATGCAATAGTTAAATAAAAATAATATTGGACACATTTATAACAATATAAATATGAAATTGTTAAAAATATGCATTAAAGAATTATCACATGCAAGGTGAATTTTTTTAAAAAAACATACTGATTAAGGATTTAGAATTTTCATTCAGGTTCAGCTCACCTAACATTGTCATTTATTTTTGAAATTGGAATTTATATTTTTTTGAAAAAAAAAAAGAATCAGATCAGTCCAATCAACTAACTCAACATAGTTTGACACAATTCTTGGTTATTTATCGGGCTCAACCCTCTGAATGGTCTCTTTTTTTTGAAGAAAACTGAACCATTGTGCTATCTAGCCGATCCGGTTCAATTCTTAAAACATTATTTAAAAAGGTATCCGCATTAAGTGCTCAATAGTGCCTCGAACAGAATTGGCTATAACAACAAAATCATTGAGTTAAAAAAGAACCAACTGAAACTTGTCAAGAAGCATCCTTGAAGAATATATTGTTGAAAAATTAAATTAAAATAAAAATACTATTCCATCTGTTTTATTTTATAAGATAGTTTTAGAGATAATGTGGTATCCCAAAATATAAAATGTTTCAAAAAAAAAAGGTTTCATTAATTATGAATATTCAAATATTACCCCTTATTATTTCATTTTTTTTTATCAAACATTGTTTCATTCTTTAAATAAAGTTTTTACTCTCTTTATCAATGAAGTATATTTTAGAAATTTTTAAAAAAATTAAAATTATAAAATGCATTTAATAAATTTCATTAGTATGTATAATTTTATTAAAAAGGCCTTATTAATTAGGACAAAGGGTGTAAATAGTGTAAATGAATCCAAGAGGAGGATAAATTGAGCTAAATAAAATTTTTGACAAATAATACTAAAAAGTGTACGAGTATTTATCCTAATTCAACTCCAACCACCCAACCTTACATTTTGTCCTCAAGCTTTACTTGAGATTTTATCCAATAAATCTACCAAAATTAATCCAGACTCTTGATTGCCTCAGTACAATCCTAGAAAACAAGTCTAAATCACTCCCTTTACAACATTAATGATTAACCCCACCTAAGCTCCTGAAGCTTAAGTCATCTATTGTCAAATATGAAAAATAGGAATAAATGGAGTAAGTGCACAAAATCAACTACAATAGTGAAAACTTTCTCAATGAGCTAATATACAATCAATAAAGTGAGCAATGAAATCACAAAAAGTTGATAAACAATGAATAAGGTAGTTCAAGCAATAATTCTTTTACGTTTGTTTTCATAAATGAGTTTATTTATAATTGAAGTTGATGAAAAATCCATTAGGCTCATTAGTTTTGCCATTAGAGTATCGTGCTTTTTTCCTCTAAGTTTCTCCCAAAATATGGGTGTTGATCAGTGCTTCACGGTAGAGTTTTTTGCTCACAGCAAAAAAAGTAATAAACAACTAAATGCATTTAATACTATGACAAAAGATAGGTAAGGAAAATACTAATAGACAAAATACAATACGGTTAGAAAAGAGTTGAAACAAGATAAAAACTTACCCAAGGTGTGTTTGAAATGATGTATCATTAATAAAGAGGCTTAGATAATGCTTAGTTATGGATATGAAGGATTAAAACAAAGAAACAAGGCTGATGAAATTATACCCCAAAAACATAGCCTTGTAACAAAGTAATAGTACCAATAGTGAAGGCTTTGTACTTGAAGTGTCATCGTAAAACTTGTTAAAATTCAAAGGGATCAATATGGGTAGTGAGCTTTGACCCCCGATAGTGGAAGGTGAATACCAATAGCGATGACACAATATGGGTAGCAGTTAAGAAGGTTGGAACTTTAAACAATAAATGAAATGACTTGTCAATACAAATAGTGACATTATCAATAGTAACTTGTTAATACTGATACTGTCATGCAAATTAAAAACAAGTCACACTGAGTTGAATATCGATAGACTAATACCTCTAGAGATGTATGATCTAAAAGAAGCTTAATACTGACAGTGGAGCCTTACTACTTCAAATAACATAACACAAAAAGAATTAAACTTTAATAAGAGTATGAGTATTGTTAAGAACACTACCCATAAAGGCAAGCCTAATTCAAAGGCTTAGAAACAAATATACTCACATAAGTACCGATAATAACAACATAACACTAGCAATGATACTCAGAAAAATTTGAAATAAGAAACTTAAGCAATATAGCACATTTATACATTATCTTCCTTTTCTATAATTATTTATATACCTAACGAACAAAATATTTTTTAATTTGTTATCATCAAAACTATAATTAAAAATAAAAAAATAAAATAAAATGCCATAACCAAATGCAACAATTTTTTATTTCAATATCTTCATAACAACTCTAGAGAGAGAGAGAAGAGTGCAATATAGGTGGAAGGGAATAACCTCAAAATAAGGAGTATTATTTCAATGTATTATAATTTGGGATGGATAGAATAATTTTAAAGGAATTATTGATATATGGGCAAAAGAATGTGAGTAGATTGGAAGTCTAAAAAAAATTAAAAGCTTATAGTTATAATTGATTCAACATTCATCTTCTAGATCGATACTGGTCGTTTATTTTCCTGTTTTAAATAAAAAAATTATTTGACTTGAGTTCTAAAATCTCATTAAAGTTATGTATATATTACCCATCATACAGATTCTTAAGTGACATCCCATTTTCAAATCTCCAATGATATTTGGGTGATTATAATAGAGTTTTTCAAATGGAGATGTAATATGTCGGAGTATTAATTATGGAAAACAAATGTGTGCCAAATTTTCCATTTGGCCTTGCTTCACTTTGTTGAACCATTTATTATATATTTTTTTAATAAATCAAATTTTATATATTTTTTTGTTTTTAGTATTCGACACATCATTTTTTTTAAAATTTTTATCACATCTTTAATCATTTCTAATAAACTAAATTTGTATAAAAAGATAAAAACAATCATAAATCAATATCTTTTTTTATAATTATATATTTAAAAATACATTTTATTATACATAATTCAAAAAATTTTCAATTAACCAAACTAATTTTTGAAACAAATATACGCAAATATTAATTTTATTATCATAATTGACTTTCATTAAATTAATTTATCAAAATAAATTTTTGATAAACTGACTTTTAACTAACAAAAAATCAAATACGCACTTTATCAAGTTAAATCCTGTGGTCTTTTACATTTTAGCACTTACAATTGCGGAACAGATCATTCATCTTTCAACTTGTTTCATGTATTGTTAAAAAAAAAAAATGTTAGCTTTGTCATGGTGGGCTAAACTATAGCTTTTTAATTAAGAATCATTTTGTAATATCCTCCTCGAGCTGTCCCATAAATAAAACTAATTCTCAAGTAACAAAAAAAATGAGATTAAAATAGTTAACATAATACTAAGTTTCAAATGATTAGAAAAATAACAATCCCAAGTTTGCATAACTAAAACCATTTTTAAAATGTTACAATTAGACAAACCAAAGTTAAAAAATATGCAGAAGGTTAAAAATATATGAGTACATTTGCTTAAAAATTTAAATTCAAGAAAATTCTAAAAAAAATTTTAGGGTGCGCACTGCGATCGCCTCTGTGACATTCGCCGTGGCTCGTGGTACCTTGAACCGCAGCACAACTACACAAATTTTGACAATAAATTTTGCTGTTAATTTGACAGCTTTTGGGGCAACTTTTGACATGTTTCATTTCTCTGTCCGATGTTCGATTGATATGAACTAAATATCTACAAAAAGCTCTTTTCAAGCATTAGCTAATGGCTTTAGTTTCATAACAAAATTACTACTCAATCAAAATTTTCACACTCTTTTAAAAACTTGTACTTTTTCAATAATTTTCACAAAACCAAGCATCCAATTCAATTTTCAAATGCCAATAGCCACTGACACTAATTTGATCACATGCACATCATCAAGACTAACTCATGCAATGCACCATATCACATTGAATACTCATAAATCACATTTTCACTACTCAACCCCCTTAATCTTAAAGGAAAAAAAACATACACAATTTTCATCAAGTAATCCATAATCATTTCAAAATATGCTATAATCCTACTTGCATTAGTATTTTAGTCCTATCACATATAACATATATCATCAACTCACTCCCTAGGGTCCAAAATACACTTTCAACTCCACAATTCTCATCATGCAAGTAAGAATCAAAATGATCTATCCCTAGTTGGTAATTGAAATTGTCAAATACAGATAATGACCCGAAAATAAAGAGACACAAATTAGGATCGCAATCCTAAGCCTCTAGAAGCTTTCCTCTATACAAACTTCCCGAGCTATTTCCTATAATATTGAAGATAGTAAAGTGAGTACAACCACTCAGTAATCAAAATCTAACTAACCCATATTAATGCATGTCAATTAGTTTAAATGCAAGTGGCAAATAATATCAATATTTTAAACCATGTAAAACATTTGAGAATCTATGTTCACACTTCAAAGCATAATAGTACATACTTGAGAAATAAAACTTTTCAACAATCTTCAAATCTCAAAAAGTTTATCACACAATACAATTACACATAATCGGGAGTAATTATGACTCAATTCATGAATATTCTCATTAGGGTCACAAGACAAACAATCATGTGCCCTTACTCACTATATATATGATCATACATCCCTTATATCCTCCTTATTCCTCTGACATGAAACCGTAGCCTATAACACAATGGGATAGTCTATAATCCACAACTTCCCTAATCTAAACACTTGTGAGGGGATTACTCAGCTACGGCGTGCCCAACTCACTTATAGAACACGGTTTCCCTCATTTTTCACACTATGGGGTGTCATACACCCTAAACTAACTTCCTCGTTGAACCAGTGAATAGCTAGCTAGGTTTGAGTTCCTTGTTGAACCAGTGAGACAGTCCTTCATTGAACAAGTGGGACAAAAAGAATAAAATCAATCCAGGCAAGCCATCACTTAGATGGGAGTCCTACCACATAGATTTAACTCTCTACTCATCTTCCTAAACGAACTCCCTCCTCTCAAAATCATGCAATACATACATACATACATACATACATATATGCACTATTACAAGCAAGATTATACTCATCATTGTACTCAATCACAATTAAGGCAATCATATAATATACAAAAACCAATTCATTGAACTCCACTTATCTACTTTCATTGAACTCCACCACTTTACAAATCATTGAATTCCTTAAACACATTTTCATGAAACTTCAAGTCAAATAAGTCATTGAACTCTAAATTTTAAAATCATTGTACCTCACTCATTTACAATCATTGAACTCCACTATTTTAAACATCATTGAACTTCTTTTAAACAAAAATTCATGTTACTTCTCTAATTACAAAGTCATTGAACTCCCAATAAACATAATACGAAAATCCATCAATATTGTTCTCAAGGAATTTCACATCACAAGGCATCAAACTCACAAAATCAATCTAGTGAATTTTCTAACAAATCATGTCACACTTGTATTTCATTTTAATTTACACTTTTTAATGATCAATCATAAATCAATAAACTAAATAACACACAAAAGCATAAGATAAAATTCTCCCGATTACTTCAAACCTTTGAAAGGTTAAAAGTTTCACCCCTCAAATACTCACTTTCAAAGCTTCCAAGAAGTTAGAATGGTGCCAAAGGTAGTAACACTATAAGCATTTACTATGCAAATAATCAATATCCATATTTAAGCTAATTTCACTAATACTTCAACATTTCTTAATATTCAATATTCATTCTTAATTTATGTAAAAGTACTCATAGGATTTCTTAGCTTTCTTTAACCCTCATTAATATCATTGAGCCCTTTAATGGTTATTAATGGAACCACATTGTTCCTAACCGCCACATTTATGGAAATTTTGGACATTTAATGTCTTCCATCTACCAATCATCATATAATTATAAATACCAATTTTACTTAACTTAATCTACTCCCATTAATTCTATTTAAGTTAATGGGTTTGGACCCATAACCCTTATGGATTAAAAATTATTATTATTAATCAAACCTTAACTTCTACCATCAAGAAAATGAAAGAAGAGAGAGAGATTTAAGTGTAGGAAGCTTACCCTTGGTGTTAATGAGCTTCAAATTACTCCTACAAATTGGTTTCTTCAAGCCCTAACACTGATTTTTCGCATCTCTCTTGATTTCCTTTGCTTTTCCTTTACTTTCTACTTCATTTCGCGACTTATGACAACAGAAATGTGACCATACGCCGTAACGCATGACACTGAGAGCCTCCCCCAAGCATGTTGCCATATAGGCGCCATGGCAGCTCATCTACAAGTCGTGGCTCGTGGCAAAGAATCTCCCTCTTCAGAATTTATTCCTCTTTCAATTCTCGGGTGACTCGATTCTCCTTCGAACTCGCATTTAGAGCTGAAATTGAAACCGAACACACCCATTAGGTCCCTTTGGCCTCACACCTCACTAACACATTTAATTAATCTAATCGAGTTTGTTTAATATAGTTTAAAATTGAGGATGTTATAATTTTTACCCTCAAACATTTCACGTAAGATTTGTGAGGGTGTCTTGAACTCAATTTTAAGTCCTTTTTGCCTTTGGACTCTTAAATTTCAATGCCTCATTATCTTACTGTTCACGCATCACTTTATCGACTATTATCTACTAAGCTAGAGTTGGCATGTTTTGTTGACTTTTTTAGATCATGTGAATTTATTAGGATCGCTTTTGCCTTTAAAGTATTCGCTCAAGAATACTTGATGTCCTAAACTCATTTTTTGAGGTCATTTCCTCCCCTTAAAAGTTAAAAACCCAACCAAACATGTCCTAAAATGCATCTACTTAGGAGTCATATTGCCATAAAAAAACAAAAACAAAAATTAACATAACACATCCATCAAAGAAAAAATGGTCAAAAAGCAACGCAATGAATGACAGGATTCTCAAATCCCATGTAAAAAGTTCAAAAATAAAAATAACTCTTAACCCTTATTTTTAAACAAAGGACCTATCAGCATATTGTACTAATATACTCCCTCCTATCCTATTTTAAGCACATTTACCAATCTCATCAAAATTAAGGAGAGCTAATTAAATCATTAACGTCATCTAAAAATGAGATAAATTCTTAATTTTAACCATATTTAAATTTACATTATATCATATGTCATATTTAATATTTTAAATAGGGTAATATTAAAAAACATAATTAATATCCATTCAAATGATTTATAATAAGAACTACTTTTTTTTTCAAGTGACTTTTATAGTATTTTGAAATTGGTTGAGAATTTGCACGAATTAATTGGTCTCCTTAAAACTTAATCATCATTCTCCTTATTTTTAAGACAATATCTTCCTAGTACTAACATTTGAACTCATAAGACGAAGGTTCTATAAGGGATTCACAATAGACACCACCTTTGCTAGTAAGACAAGAACTGACCAAATATACATCTTCTTCCTCCCTTTATTTTTTTTAAATTATTTTTTAGGTTAAGGGTTACTTTTACTCCTAAACTTTTCCCTTCAAATCTTTAAGTACCCTGAACTCATTGGATCATTAATATCCCTGAATGTTATACAATGCCTCGTCACCCTACTATTAACGCATCATAATCTGGAATGGGTCCCACCATTTTTTTACATTTTTTGTAATAAAATATTAAGGCAACGAACGTTATGGCATGTTATTGGTGGGATGATGAGGCAATGCATTTCAAACATTTAGGGACAAAACTAACCAAATGTCATATTTAAGGTACTTGTAAACCCTTAGAGAAAAATTCAAAGGCATAAGTGAACCTTAATCCTTATTTTTTTTAATAACATCAAATCTACATCTTTAGAGTATTAATTGCTTCTCCTTTTATCATAAAATCCCAGCCTTCAATAAGCTATGTAAAGCAAGCATTTAAAATGGTTTTAGTGTTTTGCATCAAACCACAGGCTGTAATGGTAAAGATATTGCATTTTCTTACCCCCAACAAATAGTAAATGATATGAAGCTTCAATCAAGAGTTAATCACTTGAGTAAGGGTAGGGTGAGATCTAAAGTCAAATGAAATCTTTCAATAATACAATGGGTTAGACTTGACATTAATGATTTAATCAACTCCAATAAGGCTAAAGTTAGAACATTTATCTCATTAACAAAAGTAGGATACTATTGATGATGGTAAGTAAAGGGAATTCAAAAAATATGAGTAAGATACCATAAACCTCACCCATTTCCTCAAAACCATTCCATCTTTCTTAATGTATAATATCAATAGACAGCCATGCCATTTGGACTCAAGACAACCCCCTCATTGTTCTAAAAAGCTATGACTCGCATCTTTAGGCCTATTATCAAAAGTACCCTAATGTATGTTGATGACATACTATTGTTCTTAGAACTGAACAAGAGCACAAGTACTTATTAGCCCAATTCTTTGAAATAATCCAAACATATGGGATTATGATTTCAACCTATAAAGGTCGCATCAAGGATGCGCAAATAAAGTTCTTGAGAATAATTATCCAAAATGGACAATATCATCCTAGTTAACACATTACACAAGAACTACTAAACTTTCCATGAGAATTTGACAGTAACTCAAATTCAACAGTTCTTGGGGATCGTAAATTATATCAAGGACTTTATTTCTCACTTGTGTCTCATCATACTAGCTAGTTGTCCAAGCTATTAAAAAAAAACCACTACCTTAGGGAATCAATCAAACTAAAGCTATCTAATATCTGAAAAAGATATCCCAACATCCTCCACCATTGAGGATTCTAGATAAAGGACAAAGAATACTACAAATTGATGCAAGTGATGACTATTAGGGAGTAGTACTCATTGAAGAAGAAAATAAAAAAAAAACATTACTATAGTCATACTAGCAGAGAATTCAAATCTCAAGTGTACTTCACTTGGTCCAATTCCATTTCACCTAAATAATCTTCTTGTTATATAATATCAACTTCCAAAATGGGTTGCAAGTATTGCTTTACAAAAAAGATATTCCACATGAATGGAATAAGCCTTCATAACCCATGAATTCTAAACGTCTCAAGGCTTAAAGCTGACTCCTTGAAACAGTCAAGATCCATTTGAAATAGGGTCTCGATTTTATCAACAATTTCCTGAAGCACAAGACTCTTTCACCCTAAGACAATCTAGTGAACAAGACAAAGAAATAGAGTGGGTAGACGACACCTCAACGTGGCTCTTTAGAAAAGAAGAAAGTAGGTACCCAACCTGTCATCTGACCAAGAAAACACTTACAAGCATATAAAATAATGGAGCCTTGTCACACATAGGAATATACTTTTGTCAACAATATCTTTAGGAAAGTAGCTTTGAGCTTTTGTCTTTTATTCATTGTTAAAAGCTACTTTTTCTTTTATCAAGTCTGTTGCTTTTACTTTTGCTTTTGTCAAGTCTATCTTTACTTTTAATCATGTCTACTTTAGCTTTTAGAAAAATGAGCAAACATGCAATAATAATGTACGTCTTTTACCTCATCCCTTCATCTGTAAAAAAGAGCCTCAGTCATATTGTAAGATAGACTTAATTCATAACTTATTTGAAGAATATAAATCAAAGTGTTTTCCCTTTTATCTCTCTAGATTCTCTCCTCTTTTAAAAGCTTGACTCAAAAATATCACACTTATATCAAACTAAGATTCAAGTATACTCCACACTTACCTCTCTAAGGAACTTGTGCATCAAAAAAAATTTGACCACAATCCATGAGTGTAAGCCATATCACTAGGGGTGAGCATCGGTCGGTTCGGTTCGGTTTGGTCTCAAAATATACAGAACCGATCGATCGAATAACACTTAAAATGAAAACCGAATCGAATCGAAATTTGATAATTCGGTTCGGTCAATTAATTTGGTTTTTCGGTTTCATATTGGGCTATTGAAATTGGGCCCATTTTTTAAATATTAAAACAAACAACACTACAAAATTGGACCTTTTTTTCTATTCATTTTTTTCAATATGAGCCCATTCTAATTACACCCATATGACATAAAGCCAAATATTATAAAGGCATGGATAATCAAATAAACAACCACAAATAAACACCGATGATCAAATAATGGCCCCATAATCCAGTCACAACACCTATTGATGAGAGTGACTGACTAAAATAGAATTTCAAGTGATGTTATTATTTTTTATTCTTTATTAAAATAAAAAATAAAAATAAAATAAAATAATTTATAAATTAAATATAATTTATAAATTAATAAATTATATGTAATTCGGTCGGTTCGGTTTATTCGATTTTAAATTTTACTAATCGAATCGAACCGATCAACCGATATATTTAAAATAGAAAAACCGAATCAAACCAAAAAATCAAATAGACCGAATCAAATAGAGAAAATTCGATTCAGTTTGTTCGATTTTCGGCTTCGGTTCGGTTTTGCTCACCCTTATATATCACTACGCTTAAAGATCTATGAGTTGAGGATTTTAAAATAACTCGTGTTTTTCCTAGGAGTGGCATTAAAAGACCTTACATAGATCAATATTTAACCTGTATGGACAAGGCATATGTGCTACTTGTAAGATGATCAAGCTTAAAGTCAATCTTGTGCAAGACTTTGTTTTGGCTGACAACATTATGAGATTGCTAGTTAAAAACTTTTGCCACTTAGACAGAGGCTTAAGAGTCCCCTAGTAGCAGCTTCAGTCGTCAAAATGAAGGGACTGCTAGTCACCTTTGTTCTTTCATCCAATCTGTGTTCCAAAGGAGACAAATTTTCCTCATATGGCCTCATCATTATTAAACAAGGCAAAGCTTGTTTTCCAGTGAGGACATTGAAATCACAAGTTTAGATTTCTCTAATAGGGGGAGATCTTCATGGCCTAATTCTTTAAGAAGCTCAAAAAGAGAGCTTCTTTCAGTGAGAAGGATTTAGAGGCCCAACTCATCTTTCGGTTTGTTTCAAGCCACAATCGTCGTTCATCATCCTGTGAAAGACATTTATGTCTGCAAGGAGATCTATGCTGTTTGGGCTTTTTGGCAGTCCTTTGTCTACCATACTAGTCATCCCAAAACTCATAAGTCACATTCAGGCTCACATATATCTAGAGCACAATCTCAAATAAAGTGACCATTAACATAAAATACATAGACTGGTTTGGTTTCTTTAGTGAAGAACTTAACAAGAGGATCACTCTTATGCTAAGTGTAGGCTAGTGTTATTGTCGGTGTTTAGCTAGAACACTAAGTTAGATCATGAGATCCAGGCCTATTGAAGATTGATTTAACAGTCCCATTTGATAATTTATACAAAACAAGAGATTTTGTTATATGTACATCTTTTTGGTCAGCATGTAACTTACTTTTCATAATTGTTGATCCACTCTAGAGGCATCAATTGTGTAAGCTTTTCTCGAGGTAAATGTCTCAGGATTTGAATCACTAAGGATTCACCAGGTCTTTTAAAAACCATATATCAACTATCCTCAGTTGAGTAAGGAAAGTGGAGATCAAGTAAATGATATTGGAGTCTGTAAACAATTTGGTGATAGAGGGTAGCCATGATGGCTATTGGGTCTTGCTTCGGTCCAACTATATGGATCTAGACCTCTAATCCCGTAGAAAGAGTCAAATATGTCAATTTGATGTTGAAATCAAGAGCAATAATGAGGGTCATGCTCCCTTGGCTAAGGATAGCCAACAAAGTTCCAATCAAGGTATTATTGTAGGATGTGTAGCTAATATCCACCAAAGCTATCTTGGCTATAAAAGGAATCCCTTTTCTGCCATAGAGAGTCAAGATCAGACAAAATGATTCAACATGGAGGTGAATATATCTTTAGAATTTCTAGATGTTCTTAAGAGGTTGTGGAATCTCAAGAGCCATGTACTATTTAGTAGAGGTGGCTAGAAGACCACATGGATCAAGTTAAAAAGTTTGGACAACTTCATTCACTTGTAGGCGTCTAGTGGAGATTAGGGATATAATCCCCTTGGTAAAAAAGTTTGTTTTATGATACGAAGTATAAGGTCTAAGAAGAGGGAGGTCTGTATCTTAGATCTTTGCATCTTCTAGAAGAATAGCAAATTCAACCAGATTTTCTATTTCGTTAGAAAGGGTTTGCTTTACAAAAAAAGAAAGGCAATCAAAGGAAAAGGCTTAAGAAAGACATTGGTTCTGAGGACATCAATGAGGTTTCTCATATTTCACTTATTTTTGAATTCTCCTTACTCATTATCATCAATATCACCCTACCTTTGTTAATGAGATCAAGGCTCTAATACCACGAAGTCAAATCTCATAATCACTACAAACCCAGAAATCCAAGGGTAATATTGAGGAGTAATATTGATCCAAGTAAGGCCTCTTAACACCACTCATAGGCAAACATGAACAACTTTAAGATCCTCAACCCCTTAATATATCAACTCATTGATTTTTAAACATAATGACATGGCTCACACTCATAGATCGTGGTTAGATTTTTTTTTTATGCACAGGTTCTTTAGAAATACAAATGTAGAACATACTTGAATCTTCATTTGATAGAAGTATGATATTATTGAGTCAAACTTTTAGGAGAGAAGGGAAAATTTAAAAGGACATGAGAGAAAACACTCTGATTTCTATTCTTCAAACAAGTTTTGAACCAAATCTACCTTACATCCTTTTTGTAAATGAAGGGAGAAGGTAAAAGAAGCATATATTATTACATATCTACTCATTTTACTAAAAGCTAAAGTAAATGTAACTAAAAGAAAAGACAAACTTGACAAAAGCAAAAGTAAAAGCAACTGACTTGACAAAAGCTAAAGCAACTTTCAACAATAAATAAAAGACAAAATATAAAGCTACTTTTCTTACACATGACAAGGCTCCATTATTTCATATGCTTGTAGATGCTTTCTTGGTCAAATAACAAGTTGGAGTACCTATTTTCTTCTTTTTTAAAGAGTCACACTGACGTGTCCTCTACCCACTATGTTTCTTTGTCTTCTTGTTCATTGGATTGTCATAGAGTGAAAGAATCTCATGCTTCAAAAAATTGTTGATAAAACTGAGACCCTCTTTTATATGGATCTCGACCATCTGGTGGAAGAAGCTCTAAGTCTTGGGATGTCCTCTTTTATATGGATCTCGACCATCTGGTGGAAGAAGCTCTAAGTCTTGGGATGTCTGGGCTTCATAGGTTATGGAAGCTCGTTCTATCTATGTAAAATATCCTTTTTATAAAGCAATACTCACAACCCATTCTAAAAGATGATATTTTATAATAAGAGGATCATCTATGATGGATGACAAGCTGAAATGGAATAAAACAAAGTGAAGTACACTGAAGATTTAGGCTTGTGGCTGTAAAATTATTTAAAACACATAAAAAAATCTGTTAACTTAGTTAAAACTTCTTTCTTATATGATGGCCAATTAGTATAAGATTTCCACGAGTAAGTCCAATTAGTAACATAGAGGTTCCCATAAGTATCCAAATTGTAAGGATGATGAATGATGAAGAAGGAATAAACATTCTCCCTGTTCAATGGTATCTTCCATAAGCCAAAAACTTCCATGACTATGTTATTTCTTACGCCACCTAGGTAGTGGTGAAAACCACTCAAGGAAATTCTAAAGGTTAGGGCCTTCATTACTAGTGTCACAAAGATAGCAATAAACAAGTAAAGGTGGGATAGTGAATGCACATGCATACAAGGCTAAAAGGAACTAGATGTACCATATGGCTTTTTTTAGTATAAGACCTTAGATATAAGGAATGACTAGATAAGGAGCCAGGATATCAAAGTATTCAAGCTGTAGGTGGATTTGAGTTTTTTGGAGGAGAAGATGGAGCCAAAAGAACAAACTTCTTTTAGCTAATTGATGTACTTCAAGAACAAATTTGGGATTGGAATTAAGAGGGAACACTAACTTTCTAGACATGATGTTAAAGATGAGAAAAGGTCGGCAATATGAGGGTGTTATGAGCTAGACTCTTTCAGCAATGGTATTGTGGTTTCCTTATATATGTCAAATTATAAATTTATAGCAAAAAAACTAGTCTTTCCATTAAAAGAATTACGTCCCAAAGAGGTACTTTTTTGTTTTGATCAAGAATTTTTGGGAATGAGATGCTATCAATTTCTACCACAAAGTGGTTAGTCTAAGATGAAAACTAAATTTTTTAATACCACATCTCATAACTAGAACTTTTTTATAAGCTATATGATAATGCTTTTTAAAGGCTTTGAATTCTCCATTAGCATGACCACAGTAATTCCTTTTTCCATTTTCTTCGTGAACAAATACTGTTCTCTAATAATCATCATTTGCATCAATTTACACTTTTCTTTGTCCTTTATTTGAAATCCTTAATGGTAGAGATGCTGGGATATCCTTTAACAGCTTTATTTTGATTGATTCTCCAAGATGGTGGATTTTGTCACAATAGCCTAAACAACTTGGCTAATATGAGGGAACACAAGAGAAATAAAGTCCTGATATGATTCAAGATCCCTAATAGTTGTTGAATTTGAGTTACTATCAAATTCTCATCAAGAAAGTTCAATAGTTCCTAAACAATGAGTGAACTAGGCTAATACTATCCATCTTAAATAATCATACCCAAGAACTCTATTTTGGCTGCCCCTATGTGACCCTCACGAGTTGAAAGCATAATCTCCCATGTTTGGATTATTTTGAAGAAATAGGCTAATAAGTCCTTATACTCATTCAGTTTCTGAGAACGGTAATATATCATCAATACACACCAGGGTAGTTTTAATAATGAACTCAAAGATGTTGATCATAGTCTTCTGAAACAGTGAGGGGGCTGTCTTGAGTCCAAATGGCATAACCGTCCATTGGTATTGTGTATTAGGAATACATAAAGTCATCTTATAATGGACTGTTAGATCAATTCCTAGCTGCTAAAATCCTCCTTTGAGATAAAACTTTCAAATTATCTTCGTCCACTTCACATGGACTAGTTGAGTGTTGATATTTGGAAGAAGAAACTTATCGTCTTGAAGAAAGGCATTAAGAGGCTTATAATAAATTACCAACCTTTTCTTTGTTTTTTGATCTCTTCTAAACATAAAATGCTTGACAGGCCCAATCAAATTTGATTGGTCCTATAAGCCCTTGCTTAAGTAAAGCTACGCACTCTTCGCGTGCTAGTTCTAGTTCTTCTGAATTCATTCCAAGATGAGATGTCAACATCCCCATTCTTCTTAAATGGAAGCCTAATAAAAAATTCTTCATTCTTCCATAAAGGAATTTGATGTTGGAACTGACCATGACTTTCATAGCAAAACTGAATTTGATCCCTCATTTGTTCATAGCCTGAAGGAGCTCGTTAAATATCCAAGATACTCGAGATATTAGTGTCTTGTTAAAGAATTGTTTAAACCTTAGTCCTTTAGGAAGTACTTGTAAATTTCTTGTTTGTTAGTAGACATCATAGACTATAAGGATATCTTTGGCTAGTAAATCACTTTCCAAAGAGCTTTGTCTAGACAACACATCTAGGGAAAAATCTTATACCAATTTTTCTATTGTTAATAAGATCTATCCTGAAGGGCTTTCTATCAGTAGTAGTGAAATACTCATTATGTGAGACCCATTCTTCTTTAGGAAGAATGTAAGGTTTCATGACACTTCTACAAAAACTCGTGTCAATGAAGACAATGGTTGAAATGGGTTTATCATTCCATTGATCAAAATGCAAAAATCAATTTGTAATTTGTGGGCTAATTTAGCTAGCCTATCAGAACAAGTTTTGGGATGTAAAAACTATATTTTAACAAAAACACGAAGAAGCGATTGCACTTTTAAACTTGAGAATAAATACTAAAAGACTTCCAAATTAATGGAGGGAAAATAAAATCTAATTGCAAAAGTATAGGAATGAGATGAGAAAATTCTCTGGAGGATACAATCTCCACCATAATATGCCCTCAAAACAAGTAAAATGGAGTCAACCTAAAAAGCACCTATCTTGACACAGATACAAGAGACATCATATGATCACCACAAGGTGATAGGATAAAATGTTGTTCAAATGTAATTTGATGTATTGTATCAATCACATGAAGTGTTGAATAAGATACAATGCGATTCCATTTTTGAAATATTGCCACTTCATTGAGGCAACTTGTTCCCCAAGCCAATCATTTTCATCGTAAGGACATCCATCCGTTAAAGGGAAGAACAAGCCAAAAGATTGGACATGGAGTGAACAAACATGTGATGGTTCAAGTAAAGAAGGAATAAACTCACAGTACTACTTGAATGAAAGCTTCCATACTTCACGCACGTTAGATGCACCATCTGTGATTTCAGCAACAAGAGTACTAATCATGATGCCTGCAAAAGCAAAAGGCAAGTGCAACCAGTATAATTGGTAAAAAGAAAGAAAATAAAAAGGAAAATATAACTATTGGTTATAGATCCTTGTAAGCTTTTCCATCGCTTCAAGTCCCTTTAGCTCATCTCATCTGCAACATTGGTCTCTATATTTTTAAATGTATCTAAAAGAACAATGAGGTGACATTAACGATGTCAAATATGCTAACATGTGACTAACGTCATTAATCTGTGTTAAGGTGAAATTATGATTCAAGAGATTAAAACATAAAACAAAATGGGGCAGACAGCACTATTAATAAGCTGAATCATAATCCCACCTCAATACAAATTAACAACATTGGTCATTGTTAGTATATTTAATATTGTTATTGCCATCTCACCGTCTTTCTAGATATATTCAAAAAAGAGGTACTAACATTGCAGACAAGATAAACTAGAGAGGCCTAGAGTAATGGGGGAAAAAACTATAAGGACCTATGGCAAAATGAGTTAAAACTATAGAGACCACAAGTTATGTTTGCCCAATAGAAAAATGAAGAGTTATTTTCTCTTGTGATGCAATGTATATTACTGATGAGCAAGATAACATAGTCGGCCATGTGTAAGAGGATGCACAAGATAATGATGGTGACAGCAAGTCTGTAACAGAAGATGAGAGCCAGACAGCAAAAAGAGTGGGGCCCCATAACTCATTTTCCTCTTCCATCATTCATAGGAGATTGTAACCAATTTCTTGATATCTCCAGAAATAATACAAGTCTCCATCGGCTATATTCTTGCAATGATCGGTCATCATTACCTCTTTTTTTGGTTTTTTCATCAAAAAGGCACAAGAGTTATGTTCTACCTTCCAAACTACTTTTTCTATTCCATTTTTCTTTCGTTTTCTGTATACCAAACAAGTATATCATGTCAATGTCTTGGCATCTTTCATGGTCTGATGTGTAAAAGGCATAGTGAGACTAGATTTTTGTTTTAACCTGGATGAGGTACATGGTCCCATAATTTAAAGAGAAGGAAAAGACAGGACTTTCTGTGTATGGCTTATAATGGGACAAGACCTTCAGTATTGTTACACCTACAACAAGGGGTGGCATACTAAAAGCTTGAAGCTTTACCAGATTACCTCTTTTCATGCAACAGAAGGACATAACAAACAACCATTTAGAAGAAAAAAAGGGAAGAAAAAAGGGCAAGGTGAACTACATAACTGTAAGTATAGCAGTTTTTTTCCTTCACCTCAGGCACAGGGGGAAAAGTTTAATACAGCATATATATTGGCATGGGTTACCCAACTAACATCGTAACCAAATGTCATGACTAGCTCACCGTCTTTTTCCACCACAGATAAGAATTGTCGAGTTCCACCACCTACTCCAAAATAATACTTCTTTGCAGCCATGTAAGCAACTCCATCAGGATAGCGCAGACACTGTATTGAACATTTGAATTGATAAGCAAGAATGTGTTTTAAGAAAAGTATCCAGACAAACGAGTACAACCCAACTGAGTCAACAGTATTGCATGTCATAGATGCATCATTGTCTTAAATTTTCATGTATTGTACTATATGATGCACCTTAAGAAACATTGACAAGTTAAAAGCTAAAAGATGATATGCAAAAATATATTGGTTACTCAATAGCATACCCAATAGATATCTCAACATGTTGCTCCTCATTACGCATAATGAGTAAATCAAATACCTCAATTATTTGAACACAACAAAATATCAAAGCACGCTTTGGCTTAACAATGGTGTGTTGCACAAAATGCCCAAGAAAGCCAAGGGCTTGCAAGATATTAACAGAGAGAGACTCAGTCCATAATTGGATGGAATCACTTGGGAAGGCTAGAGTCCATTGGAGATAGCTCACTATGAAATTCAAGGTGGGAAAAGAACAGGCATGTTTGAAAGGAGATCCATCATTAATCAAAACCTTGGTGTCTCTTTATTTACGCTCAAATAATTTAATGGAGAAGACCAAGGGTTTCTAGGATCTTGTGATTTACCATTTCATGCACGGTAACTATTACAAGTCCTTGACATCCAGAATGTATGCCAAGAGTTTGCTGGACTTTGTGAACCACCAAAATAAAGGGTGTAGGTGTCGTTGGGTGATTACATTACTAGTATGTACAGAAGTTGGCCAGTGAGTGTTATATGCATAGTCAGTGAATCTTTCAACAATATACTTCGTTTTGTCCCTTCCTTTTCCCCTTGACTTGTATATGGATACTGGATGATAAGCATGTATTGCATGAATTATAAACATCATAGCAGAATATCAAACTAGAAACATGTTAAAATCTTTGATACAAATTAAAAATATGTTTTCCTAATATGGAAGTCATAATATTAACTTTTGTGCCTTCATTTATATTTCAGTCACTCAATACAGAAAATACTATTATGTCTTGTAACAGTAAAATAGTACCTTCTTGATAAGATTATAGAGGGTTTGGAGACTGCTGATTGAGTAAACAGTCTCTGCCATCAGAATAAAGTCATAACCAGGACCATCCTTTGCATTGTTATCCACGAAAGGGAGAAGTTTATCAATTTCACTCCAGTCACCAGCAAAAAAGCGAACTTCTTCCTCATCACATATGGCTATGTTTGAAGATGATGGATGAGGTTTCCCAAATTTATTTGTGTTTACATTGGGGATGGTGAGACAACGTAGGACCTCAGCATTGAAGTCCTGGAAATGCACGACAGCTGCCCCCTAAAGAAACCAGAATAGACACAAAATTATGAAGTAGATTTTACACTGTGCATTAAATGCAGGGATGAAAAAACAATTAAAAAATACACATTTTATGAGATGTACATAAATGGTACAGTAATTTCAATAATATATATATATATATAATGATTTCACATTGTTAAACTAATACAAAGTCAAAGAGCCAAGTTTCACCTCAAGCAATGAAAAGATTCCAGGAAGTCCATGACCACATCCAACCTGAAAAGTCAAATATTGAAACACTGAAAGAGATTACTTCCTTAGTACAACTTAGGCATAGCTTATTTAATATATATATATATATATATATAAAAGGGTGCAGTGCTTATAAACCAGAAAAAATGGAGTGTCAGAAAACATCATGAAAAGGGGCTTATTGCATTTGAACTTTCAATGTCCACAACAGTGAAGAAGAGCCATGCAGAACACAGATAAAGATCTAGTACATTTTAATGCTTGAGCATGGAAAAGAGTGAGGAAATTCTCAGAACCCATTCCTCTTCAAAAAGATTTTACTGCACTAACTACTAATGATACCTGGCTTCTGGAAAGATAGTTTTAAGATTTTCAATTATTGATATAGATTAAGGTTGTAATTTTTCCATCAACCCTTTCTCAAAGATTGATTTACTAAATTTTTTGCCTCTATCATATTATCAGATAAAACAAAACAATCAAATTCAAACTCCCCTCAGTAGATGCAAGAAATTTAAGGATCCCTAAAAAATGAATTTTCCCTCACTTACACACAAGAGCCGTGAGAGTCACACGGTGTATAAACAATAAAGATGTGGAGAGGACTTAGAAGACCAGCATGAATGTTTGTCATCTCCACCTTTATGAGAAGCAAAGTGGAGCACACAATTACTGATAAGCAAAAGTCATGCAAGGTGACAGGGACCCACTTCATGCATGTGGGGAATAAAAGCTCAATACCAATCCCCCCCCCCAAAAAAAAAAAACATACTTTATCAATGCATGTTCAGAGGAAAAATTTGCATCTCCAGTATGAAATTAAAATAACTTAACTTTTACCAGCAATACCTTTTGCCATCAAATCTCTCAAGCAGAAATAGCATCAACAGTTAACAAGCATGTACATAAGAAAACTTCTTGATGTAGTGCTAGCATGCTGATAAAAAGATGAGAGTACAAAGATAATGCAACACAAAGTCAGCACCACGAGACAATCATACATAAGTACTCAAAAAAATGTCATTACACACCATGGAAACTTCTATATTAACAATTTTTGCATTAACTCTCAGAAGGGAGAGAAGAAAAATACAAGGAGAGGAGAACAGGATGTCCATCCAAGTTCCAAAGAAAGAAACCATAAGAAAACAGTTAACTTAAGACTAAGAAGCTTAGAATGGTTGAAAAAATTATTCATTTTTCCTGCATCTAACACGTGGAAGCTTTCATATATTTAAATTCATCCAGCTATACAAACAGTAACAGATGGCAAGTGGTAATCTAAAAAATTCCCACCAATGAAGGATAAAATACAGGATAATAACAATTAAAGAATACAGGAAAGCATACTTTCAAACAGAAAAACAAAAACAGGCATAAGTAATTGATAATTTTCCTCCTTTCCAGAGCAAACAATCAAAGTTATATGTTAGACACTGTAGAATCACCTAAAAATAAGAATTAACCTCTAAAACTCGCTTCTTAGAAAATGAAATATGCCCGCTTCTGATTTCTGAATTAAGAGCTTTAGTTAAATCTAGTGAGCCTTCCCACAGCTTTAGCCCACCTAGAATCCAAATTAAACACATTCGGTCAGTTTGTATCTAAGAAAATGTTAAATTAGACCCAAAAGAAATGAGCAGCAAAAGAAAAGAAAAAGCAAATTGGTGGTAAATAATACTTGGATACTGGATATCCATATGTCTCATATATTTCGAAACTAATTTAAACAAAAAGTTTAACATCCCAATGTTACTTAAAACATATTGTACATATCAATTAAAAAAAAAAGGTTGTACAAATAAATTTCTATTATATCCAAACAGTTTAGGATTGCAAGAGCTTGGAAAGAAAATTTCCTATGCACCAAACACTTATATGAAAATGCACACAAGATATCACCACCTTCATATTTCCCTGGCACTAAATCAGAGTTGGATAAGCCAAAAACTTCTTGCGTATTGACCCTTCCCTGAGAATGGAACAAGCATTACTTCAGTTGTTATAAAAACAAATTAATCCAAGAAAATAAAACAAAATCAAACCCAGCCATAAAACTATCAGAAGTTCAAGTCTTAATATCTCCAGGCAAGAAAAGTTTGGGAGGAGATAAGCTACCTTCAGCAGAGTAACCCCATCCAAGCTCACTGATTCCGCACTGTATTCCACCGACGGTGAAGCCTATTTTACATGAATCCCATAAATCGAAGTAAATAATCCCCATCGAATTATAAACCAAAGACTAAAGAGAAAATAGCTACAGTAAAGAATACCTCAGAGCCAAGCACTTCAATACAAGGAGGTGGGGGTATGGAAGGTGCTTGTCTAGCATCAAAAAAACCGAACCCAGAACTGGTGCTGTCGGTGGAGGAGAACAATCGGAATGTTTCGTAACTTGGCTTTTGGGACTGATTTTCACAAGCACAACAGCAAAACAAACTTGAAAGCTTAAATCAAAAAGAAGCACAGCGAAGTGACTGAAGAAGACGCTTATCGGTTATTAAATTTGACGTGATACAAATTTTACCAGCACTCACCTCAGAATCAGAGCTCGCCGCCGTCATTTCTTTAAATTCGCCGCCTGCATCTAACACGAGTAATCTGCTTTCCAAAATTTATTTCGCAGAATTGCACGATACCTGAACCCACATATTTCTATTTTAGGTAATGTTTGAGTTTTTTTTTTTTTTTTTAATAAGGAATAGAGTAGGAAGAAATTTTACGTCGAATAACCTTTGAAGTCATCTTGTGCTATTGTAAATTCATTTTTCTTCACCCTCAATTTCAAAGGTTAAAAATAAAATGATATAATATAAATAATATTATTATAAAATTTTCCTTATCCTTCTCACCTCCTATCACTCTTTTATTTCCTCTCATCGTAAAACTAAAAATATAATTATATTTAATTTAAATTTATTTTTTATAATTATTTTTAAATAATTATTAAATAAAATTACATATTTTTTTAATAAAACTCTCAATGTTCTATTCCGTTCTACTCTATTTACTCCATCTCATTCTATTTCGATAATGATCATTTATTTTTATTTTATCATATACTCTACAATATTCCTAAAGGCTTAAATAATTCTTAGGTGAAAAAAGAGAGAATTTTATTAAAGGACCATAAATTTGACATTATTACAAATGAGATCCAATCAAATTTGAAATCTCACTGTAGGCTTAGAAGACTAATGGTCTGTTTGGTTGGGAAGAAAATATAGGAGAAAAGAAAATATGGGAAGAAAGAAAATATGGGAAAAAAATAGGAGAGAAAATAATTTTTTTTCTGTTTGGATAGGAAAGAAAAAATGAAAGGAAAAAAATTGTGGGAAGAAAATAAAATGTGGGACCCATTATATTTTCTTTTCATCTTTTCTCTCCCAAAGTGGAGAGATTTGGGAGTAAATTATTTTTTCCATCATCTGCCCTTCTTCTTGCACTCATCTGTTTCGTGTGCCCAGACTATCATTTTATTTTCATTTTCACGTGTCTCAGCTCAGAAAGCTCCCATCTTCAACCAACCCAGCCAAAGCATCATTCAGTGGCTTCTTCTTCTTCTCCAGCGTGCTATAGCTGCAACTTTTGGACTCATCAAGGTTAGTTCTTCTCTTCTTCAACATCGTCTTCATTCTGGTTTGATGCTGTATCTACAGTTTTTTTTTTTTTTTTGCCATTAGTTTCATTCTTGTTTCTTTAACATTCAGCGCACCTATTCTGCCCATATTTGTGAAATTTTAATTTGATGAACAAGGGGACAAAAAGCAAGATATAAATTCTGCAGCTGATCGATTTGAGTTTTGCCTTGTCATTTTTCCATTCCATTGTAAATCATTTATTAAAATTTATAAGAGGGAGATGCTAATTCTTTTTACTTCTCAATTCAGTCCTTTTATCGTCTTAGGATAATATAGAAGTAATGAATGATTTTGTTGGACTGATTTCATGATACTGGATTATGTGTTGTTCTGTTCTTCATACCCGACCAGCATGAAGTTTTTCCATGGCCCTTTTTTTATTTTGCCTAATGTGGAGATATTATATTTATATAAATCTAGCAAGAGTACCTCTTATTCATCCTTTATTTAATTAGAATAGAATGAGTAATTGATTATGAGACACCTCTTGTTCATGATTTATTTATATAAATTTGGCAAGAATTCCTCTTATTCATGGCCACAAACCCTATTTGAATTGTTGCTTAGATAAATTGATATAAACTAGCCTTATCCCACCCAGACAAATAAAAATACCTCAATCTTTTTTTCACCTTACCTTAACTTAGACTTTTTACTGAAAAAAATTATGACATAGCAAAAGGGTAACTAATAATCAGTGGCATTGACTGCTAGGTAATGGTTAGTTTTCTTACTTCCATTCCATCTTCCCTAAAGAAAGTAAAGAAGCAAAATGCTAAAGGAGACAAAAATAACAAGATAGGTTAAGCTATCACTGAGAATCATCTAGCCCATCGAATTCAAATGGTTTGGCAATTAATCCACACTAATTTCCATCATTTAACTAATGAGTATTGCTCCAATCTTGACAACCTTTTTGAAACTGCATTGCTTGAGACATAAAGTGTAACAATCTTTTCTTCAACCTGAATGCTCAAATTACTACATTATCATGTCTTTAAAATCTAGTTGACTCTCAACTACTTGATTATTGACACAACCAAGATGCTTTCCACCCTTGAGATCTTGCCATATTTGTCATGTTGCAGTGTCATTAATTGGTATACCCTATAATTGCAATGATAATGAGGTTTTTGTCAAAATTTTTTCCACCAGTTAGTGAGCGACAAGACACCTAGAGATCTGACTTTATAAACTGTCCAACAAAATTCCAATAAGAGAAAGAAAACAAGTATAGCTCCTGATAATATCCCATATTAATTTTATATGTCAATGTCTTGCTTTTTGGGTCTAAAATTTTGAGACATGTAAGTTGTAACAACCTACAAAAAATAAAGCTGTCTCCAAGCCTCAAATATTTGCAAGGGAGAAAAGCAATAACATTTGTATGAAAATAACATTCATGTTAGTAGGCAAATGATTATAGTTGCAGGTCACAAATCTCTACAACATGCTATATGGTATAACGACCATATAATGTTTCCATTTTCTGCTTATAGTATTTTCTGTTCCTTTTACTTTAAGGAGAAATAATAGATGGATGCTTTAGTTGATTATCTCATCGGTTTCTCCTTTGTTGAATCGCATATAAAATGGACATATCTATCCAAATTATAATAATCCCTCTAAATGGGAATGAAGCCTCTATAATTTCATGCTTTATTTAATTCTGGTTCTTTATTTATTATATCTTTGAAGCTCATATCATAGCCACTAATTAGTTCGTGGCCACCATATTCTAAGTTACTTTTTACATACTCATTGCAACTTTGTATCAATGTATGGCTGTGTGGTTTTGAATTGTTATATAGATAAGCAACCATAATAGTGAAGGAATGATCAAGGTTATTGAGGAAGACTTTATGGATTTTGAGTCTGAAGTTAAAAGGTTGATTGATTTTGAAGTGGCTAATGGAAGTTCTATGGACTTGAGCCTTGTGTTAAAAGATTGGGAACGTCGTAGGTATGTGTATTGTACAAATTGTTTGTATGATTGTACATGTAATTTATTTGTTGGGAGAGATTTCAAGGCTAGTTAATAAGCCTATAAGTGATGGTAATGTTCAAAGAGAGAGCATGAGGAGAATATTCATACAAAAATTACAAGACACGGAACAATGTCGTGATGTTCTTCGAATGGGACCACAAGCATTTTTGCAATTGTGTGAGAAACTTCGAAACACTGGCATAATTAAGGATTCTCGAAATGCTATAGTTGAAGAGCAAGTGGCAAAATTTCTTCACATATTAGGACATAATGTAAGAAATAGAACAATGGCTTTTTTCTTTAGCAATCTGGGGAGACTATTAGTCGTCATTTTCATAATGTATTACGAGCTATTATTTCTCTTGAGGCTGAATATTTTATGCAACCCTATGGGTCAATGGTTCCCCTTGAAATTCTGACTAATGAAAGATTTTACTCGTATTTTAAGGTAAGTTTTTATATTTGTGCATAATGTTAACATTTTCTATTATGTATATGTATAAATGACACCATTATTTTTATACTAGGATTGCATTGGAGCTATAGATGGAACTCATGTTCGAGCAAAAGTACCCAAAGAAGAAGCTGGTCGATTTCGAGGACATAAAGATTACCCTACTCAAAATGTATTTGCTATATGTTCATTTGATATGAAATTTACTTACATATTGGCCGAATGGGAAGGAACAGCCTCAGATTCAAGAATCTTAAAAAATGCTTTATCAAGAGACGATAAACTTATAATTCCCCCAGGTGAATAAGTAGCTATTATGTATTATAACTTATTGTTTGCTTTTATTGACTAAAACTGCTTATGGATTAATTTATATTGTTTAGGGAAATTTTATCTTGGGGATGTTGGCTTCCCACTCAAGCGTGGTTTAATAACACCTTACAGAGGAGTACGATATCATTTGAAGGAATATTCAGCAAGATTACCACAAACTGCAAGAGAAATTTTCAACCATAGACATGCATCATTGAGAAATGTTATTGAAAGAACATTTAGTGTTCTAAAATAAAAAGAATTTTCCATAATTGGAAGTGGCACCAAGCCACATTATGCTTTTGAGACTATGGTTGACATCGTGATAGCTTGTTGCATATTACACAATTATTTGATAGGTGTTGACCCTGATAAGAATCTAATAGCTCAAGTTGATCATGAACTATCACGCAATCATGACATGGATGATCAAGTTGCATCCAATCAAGAGGACGATTATAGACAAGGATCAAATTTAAGAGATAATATAGCAGCTCATATATGGCATGACTATTTAACCCATATGAATCATGGATTGTGATTCAAACTATTTGCTTAAGATGTTGCCTTGTATTACTTGAAAGTATGTGTTTTAATGTATTAGTTTGAAGTGTGTGTTGGCCTTGTATTTGTTGAAGTACAATGATATTTATTTTATAAATTAAGCATTTAAACAATTCCTTACTACTTAATTATAATAATTGCTTGCTTCTTAAATAATGTATGCATATTTTTTATGTAGATTGAACAATGACATCAAAAAGGAAGGAATCAACAAAGGACAATTTGTGTTGGACTCTTGAAATAGATGAAAAATTCATTGATGCTTTATTGGAAGAGACAATGAAAGGAAATCATCCTGATGGTACATTTTCAACATTCGCATATGATAACATGGTGGAGACTCTTAATAGTTCCTTTGGGTCTCACATTACAAAACAACATTTGAAGAATAGAAAGAAGATATTGTCACAAAGATTTTCAGATCTTTATGATTTATTTCATGGATTGAGTAGATTCTCATGGAGTCCTATCACAAAATTGTTTGAAGCAGATAATCAAATTTGGAATGATTTGATCGAGGTGAGTAATCTATTTATGTTAATAGAATGAATATTTGGATAATTTAATTAAGGTGAATAGTCTATTTATGAAGCCATATCTCTTTTTGTGTTTGTAGAAAAAGCCAAATGCAAGAAAGTGGAAGAATACACCTGTATTACATTATGAAAAATTGTATGAGCTATTCAGTGCAGATAGGGTAATAGAAAAATATGCTA